AAGAGTTATGAAGAGGAAGAAGAAGAGGAGGATAAAAGAAAAGACGATGAAGAAGAGTTGGACAAAGAAAAGGAATCATATATTTTCGTGGGACCATGTTATGATGGGGGTTACCTTCCAGAGCTAGAGCCGCTGAGAGGTTCGCAGCAGCAGGAAGAAGAAGCAACACAGGTGCAGGAGATCCCCCCAAAAGAGGAATATGAGCCCTATACTCTTATTGGCCCATGTTATATTGAAGGCTTGATGGACTGGGAAGCATTTGACAAAAGTCGAGAGAACCCAATAGATAATCGGGAGCCGATTATAGTTTATTTGAAATAGATATTAAGGTTTTACCTAAGCCAGTATATAAATATTGGGAAAAAACGAAGAGCTTGAAAGAAATTCTAAGCTGGTCATTGAAAGGTATAAAAGAGCTGTGCTATGAAGTCTTATCTCCTACCTACCTAGTTATTTAAATAGAGGAATGGGTCGGTCACTTCTCCACTCGTACATACACGAGATCTTACCATTCGTCTGAGGATGGAGGTGAACAACTGAATTAATATAATAACTATCACATTATACCTATCTTGCATTTTGACACTAGTGAGACTCGCTGTTGGATCATGGTAATCCAGATGTGATTTCCTCCACGATCTTATTGTACCAGGTCTGTAGTCTCCGCATTCAGATAATCGTCGGATGTTTTCTGCTTTTTAGCCGGAATCTTCGGCACTTTTCGTCGTTTCCATTCTTCCAGAACCTCTAGAACGACTTCGCGGCTCGCAACTGGCTCGGGCAGTTCTAAACTCTCGTTATAGGTGGCGTTAATAGAACGCATTGCAACTTCACCCGCCAATGTTCTGATACTACGACCATTGGCCCAGCAATCCAAGGATCTTATCTTCCGAAAAATTCCCTGGATTTTCGTATCGTCCTCGTCAAATGTGGCCAAGATGTGGAGGTCTTGGATGTCCTTTTTGAGTAGTTTGGCACATGCTGCACTAGAAAGTTTTTCGAAATGGATCTGTGTGGAAAACCTGCCCGAAAGCCCAGGGTTGCTCAAAAGCATTTCGTTCATCGGCACAGTGTAGCCCGCGAGTACGACCACAAGTTTCCGAAAAAATTGAGGCTTGCTGAGAGCATCAACGAGCTCGTCTCGGGCCTCGCTCACACAATCTTCCAAGACCCCTTTTCCATTCAGTCGATGTGCCCCGTCGATAAACAAGACCTTGCCAAGACTGCTTTCTAGCAGTCTTCTTGTTGCATGAACGGTTTGGCCAGGAGTGTATCCAACCATATCTCGAACAGTGACTTCGACTACATCCTGGGTGGCCAGGATGCCCATGTTATAATATATTCGACCCAGCTTCCTGGCGAAGGCCGTCTTGCCACTACCTGGGGGCCCTTTCAGGACCAGAGTGACTGGTGTAGTCTGCGGCGCCTTTTTGTATTTTTTTATTGCGTTTGAATTACGCACCAATTGTTTGAATGTATCAAGTTTCGCCCCTAGACCAATCATGCCAAAGTCGTGTTCTAACTCGTTTTCGATATCTTCGCCCCGTAAGTGTTCTGAGTCGAAATCCTCCGGGAGAAGCAAACTGTTTTTTGATATTTCAAGCTTTTGATCCGGGTGGGCTACGCTGAAACGGCGTTGGAAACTGAGAATTGCTCTCGAGAGTAGATTGTCGACCTCGCCCCCATTGCCGAAATTTGGGCGTTGCTTTGCAAGCTTGAGCACATTCAATGCGGTAGCTCGACCTTGATCACTGGTAGAAAAGGATTGCTCCTTCATCTTGAGGTCCAATACCTTGCCGAGTTGCTCCTCACTAAACTCTTCAAAGAAGAAGGCGTTCTCGATTGGGAAGCGCCGTGCCAGACCAGGGTTTGCTTCGCGTAGAAAGTCTCTCATTTCCTCCTCATAGCCACACATGATAATGCACAGGTCTTCTCCCGGCTTGTTCTGCACCTCGCCTACAAGCGTATCGACGACTTCCTGACGAAAAGGACAAGGGCTTGAACCGTAGTTCCGTTTAGCGTCCAACATATACGCCTCGTCAATGAGCAAGACATTCCCGCGAGCCTTTTCAAGAATTTCTTTGGTCTTCGCAACAGAACTTCCAATGTGTTCCCCGATGAAGTCATTCGCATTGTGAACAAGAATCTGACCGCAAGAAAGGAAGCCGAGACTCGCAAGTAGCTTACCGTACAGGTTTGCCACGGTGGTTTTTCCTAGAAGAGTTAGAGAGGTTCCGATATTATAGAGCGCGTGAATCGATGCGCATACCTGTACCGGGAGGGCCAAGAAACATCCTAGATAGCCCTGTCTGGACTGGCTCGTGACCATCGAGTTCGCGATAGTAGTTGAGTAGTAGGCTGTCAAAGAGGGATCTGATGGATGTTTTGACAGCTGTAAGACCAATCATTGCCTGGAGTTCCTCCCACTCCTTGAGGTTAGATTTGGTAAGGTCGGGTGCCCGTCCAAGAAGGTCACTGGCTGTGAACAAAAAAGGGCTAGACTCAACGGTGAAGTCACCATCTTCGAGGTGGCGATCGAATTTTCGCTGATAGATATCAGTAAGCCGAGGCTTGATGGCATTCTCGATGTCCGTCGCGTTAGCATCCTTATCGCACTTTTGAGAAATTCGGCGGGCACAGGCCTGGATGGAAGAGCCGTTGACCCCTCCTTCAAACTGTGCGTGGCCTTGGAACTGTTTCTGAATTGACGATACAAGGGCTTCCCGAACTCGGTGTTGGATCTCGTTGTTCTTATCCGGACTTTTTTTCTGAAGGTCTATCTGGAAAGGAAACCTCTCTTCAACAAAATCCTTCAAGAAGGAGGGAATGCTCGTGCTATGAAAAGCAAGTACAACAACGAGGCCGGACCTTTTTTCTTGCAACGAGTCAATGGATGATTTGCAAGTACTGCAAAGACGTTCGGCGTGCTCCACAAGAATAACCCCGGCTTGTACACCGTTTGTGACTGTGACACATTTTGAGGCATCATTATCGTCACCACTGTCATCACTGCCATCCAATCTATCAGAGTCGCCGTGTCTCTGGGCGCATAAATATATATATTGCGAATCGTTCGAAATTGCGCCTGTGCTGCGCAGCTCTTTGTGGTAAAGGCTACCGGCTTCGAAGTAATCCAGGTTGTCGGTGCCGATGAAAGCTAGATTTAGCCTGGACTGGTCGCCCAATAGTTCTCCCCATCGACTTTTGAGAACTTTGAGGATTACTGGCAGCTTTTTGCCGATATGGTCCAACAGCTTATCAAACCCTTCCAACTGTCGTGCTACCACTGGGGTCTTGGTCTGTGTCCGATACCTTTCAACAAGTGCCTGCTCCTCGGCGCCAAGCATATCTTCAGCAGTGAGCAGAAAGTATGAGGGATCCTCGGTCGAACTCTTCGCTTCAAGCAGTCTATCAATTTGTCTTCGATAGATCTCACGTAGCGATGCATTGATGGCATCGTCAATGCTTTCTTTTGAAGCCCGCTCTTCACAGCTTCGGGAGATTTTGCGAATGCAGGCACTCAAAATGGGTCCATCAGTTCCTCCTTCTACCTGCATTTCTCCTCCGTATCTCGACTCGATCAATTTCAAGACACGTTCACGGGCTTCTTTCGGTCCAAATCCTGGCTCGATTGATCCCTTTGGGAGATACAAAATAGATGAGAACCGTTTCACCGTGTCTTGCAGAGAGCTGTCTATCTTCGTACCTCTTATGACAAGAATTATGACGAGTTCCGGTTTAGAGGATTGTATTTCCTTGATGATATCCCGGCCATCCGAGCAGATATTCGAGCGCTGATTGATGAGCACTGTTCCGTTCTGGTCCCCACCCCCTTCTCGGGGTAGGTTTTTGAGGTACTTTAGGCAGCAGTCGTCTTTGGCCGAGAAGTCTCTGAACTTGGATGTGTCAGGGAGAACTCCTGCCACGCAAAGGTATTGATGATATTTCTTGATTGCTTCCGAGTATCTCAGGGCTTTGTCTCCAACAAGGACCAAGCTCGCTGGTCCGCGTGCTTCTTCGAGTTTCTGTGACTGGGCAGCCAGAATCTCTATCATTGGTTGAAGTTTGTTCGTGATGTGGTCTGCGAGGATCTGGAAGTTTTCAATAGAGCGAATTTCTTCAACTGCATCGGGCGGTACAGATTTCGCTGGGTGGAACTTTTTGCAATTTTGGCCGGCCTCACACCATCCTTCTAGGAAGGCTTTGCATGGTGGTAGTTGAAACCAATAGATGCCACTAAACCGCCAGTCTTGCGGGGGAGCATTCCAGCCTGTTCCATCCGTTTTGCGCTCCCATCCAGGCGGAGTCGAGTCTGGGTACTTTTTCTGATCTCATGGTTTCGATTTACGCAGTGATTTTGCGGCTCTCCCGCTAAGTGGCAATCCCATCGTGGTGATGGAGTTGTCTGAGTGAGATGGTGAACTTGTCGTCTATTTTGAAGCTGTAACGATGTAGAAAATGATAAGTTCATACGGTCGGACTGAGAAGGCAATTATTAGACTCGGGAAAGGAGGCGAAGCAAGGCTGTCGCCGTCGTTTCACCATCAAGAGAGGCTCTTGGGGCGCGCATATTTTGCCAGTCAGAGGTGCAGCAATGGCAGTGCGAGGGCGTAGTATATGCAGGCAGCATTTTTTGCAATATAAACGGCTGCAGTTCAAAGGTACATTCGGGCATGTAGACATACTGCGTCGCCCGGCAGGGTCCATTTCGCCCGGCTATTAAGGCAGAAGGGGGACGCATCCGCACAACTCTGTCGTGGACACCACATAACTCGCAGCCTTGTACTCCACGCTCGGATATTGCGCCGGGAACAAAGTATGTAGCTGGCGGCTTGTTGCAAAGGGATTACAATCTAATTAATGTCTATTTCTTTTTCCGCCAGCCGCGCTTCGAAAAAACTCCTTTATGGTTCGTGCTCAGTCTTGAATATAAATTAGATGCCATGTTATTTCTTTCATTTTATTTTTTTAGTTTTAGAAAGAATGGTCGGTACGATGGATAGTACTGGAAGAAATGCCAACCCCTGAGCAGTCGGGATCGGAATTCAAGTATTGGGCCCGAGCCAAGTGCCTGGAACTGTTTGCGGATGTTCAGTAAGCCGGAAGTGTCAATAGCCACGGACGTGGCGGTCTGGATCGAGAGTCATCTTAGGTACCGGGTACAAAATAAAGCTGGCGAATCGGCTTCCCAGGAAATATGCAAGCAGCTGTAAAATGCTGGGCAAGTTTTGGTGGAGTAGCCGATGATCGTGCTGCACAGCCATCCTGGATTGATTGTGCATATTATTGATTCGTGTGGAGGGCTGGTGAGGCTGCGTCTAATAGGCGTCACTTTACCGATTGCCTCATGTCACACTGAACTGCTCTGGGGCAGCGTTCCAGGCCGTGTCGAAGAGCCTTTACATCAGCCTTGAACTGGAGGATTTCCTCCTGCGGCAACAAAAGTTGTTCGTAGCACTCTCATGCTAGGTCGAGCGATATCTCCTATTAAACCCAGCGGATTCGGGATACCTAAGGCGGGTGCGGGATATCCTCCACGACGCTGTACTCGATTATTTCGTTATCCCGTAAGGCCTTGGCCAACTAGGCAGGACATACTACCGGTGGATCATCTTCCGGCTCCGAGTCGTTATTTTATATATTGTTTGCTTTATCGGAATTGCTGCCTTAAGGCTCCGTTTACCAGCCTTGCTTTATTTGAGATGATTTTGCGGGAACGATTTTGGTAAAGACCGGGTGATCTTCGACGGATTTTAAAACTTCAATGCTATAAGATTGACAGATGGAAAGACCCTATCAAGACGCAAGCGGGCTTTTCTCTCAATAACCCTGTCAGTTAAACGCAGGTTTTCAATATCGCAATTAGGCAGGACTAAGCAAATACTCGATATAATAGCTGGCATCTTCTCGAATATGATAGCAGCCATGATTTTAATTATAAGGTTGAAATCTCTGAGATTTAGAATTTAGAATCGTGCGAGCCGAACAACTAGTTATCATATTGACTTCCCGAAAGGCAGATGTCGATGGGCCTGATGAATCTTGCAGCTGAAAGAGTTATATTCGATATACATACCTGGGTAGACACAAATTTTACTAACAATAAGCATATGCGACCATATGCACTAGAAAACTCGGCATCCCGTCCCATCTGTCCTAGTGATCGGTCGCTAGTAGTCTTCGGATCGGTGATGATTTGATGACTTTGCAAGTCTTTGATTTTCAAGGTGCGTGTTTGAGTTAGCGGTATGGCATTAGAAGTGTAAAATTGAATGCGGTGCAGCGCGGTCGCAGCGGCACTCTTTATGAATCTTAAAATATACGGAGGAAATAAAACCTAGTCCTCTGCCTCCTCGTCCAAGTAGAAAAAAGCCCTGGAAATCGCGAAAAGGATTGTAAAGCTCTTATAAAGCGTCGATTAATTCTGCATATTCTAATAAAGGCGCTGGCGTATTCTATGAGGTGCGTTACTTAAATCCCAATCCTAAATCCAGGTTCTCCTGAGCGCCCGCGGTGCTGCGAGCGATTTGTCATAAATGTGCCTGCTACTTCGGCGCCTAGCGGATGCCCCAGTGGGGCTCACATAGCGTGTCCAGCCACTAACCTAGGAAATGTTGAACAGTCAGGTAGCTGTAGAGTAGACAGGGGGTCGATGCATGTATATTGATGTAACTTGATGATCTGTACAAAGGGCTACTTCTAAGAGGTTTTTTTGGTACTCCCATCCTGCAAGGTTTTCACCAGCTGCGTGGCAGCTGTTACTTCCCCGTAGTGCCATAGTTCAACAGGAAACGTTCAGGCGCCAGGCGCCTCCAACATCGAGTCTGCCCTTCAATTCAAATGACTTCGCCGTCCAAGGAAGTATCATCACAATCTATATCAAATGGCGTGCGACGAACAATCCAAATACCAAAACGCTCTGGAGCGCCAGGCTCATCATTCTCGCCCAGGCCCCAGCCCAGACGGAACCTTAAGTCGTCAGAAAAGCGCGATTTCGCTTCCTCCAGCGTCTCGCAGTCGCCCAGGCCGTCCCTGTACATGTGCTCCAGCACATCGCCGCCTGCCAGCAGCGCAAGAACGCTCGCGACACTTGTCGGAGGTCGCGGTAGTACTGGTTCGTATGCACCTAGTAACCAGCTCAACAGCGTCAGCACCAGCGTGGCCGCCAGTAAAGCCTGTAGGATTCGAGTGGCATTGGTATCCTGGAAGACGAAGTCAGAGCCGGGTAGGTCCGTCGCTATAGCTGTGTAAATGCCCGTGTCGTTTTGATTGTCGCTAGTTCCAGACAGAGCCGGAATCAGTGTGGTATTTGGATTATTTGTACCGTTTTCGTATGCAATGCTAACTCGGTAAGTCTCGCTTATATGCCGGGCTGAGATGACACTGTACTGAAAGCTTATAGCCTTCTCCACATTTTCCACTTGAGAGGCGTCGGCCAAATACTCAACCGGGATGGCATATCGTGAGGTGATAAGTTGTTGGAAAAATGTGTCCATAAACGTATTGTTTGACGGTAAGAGTGACGAGAGTGAGTCAGAACTGGTTTGCGTCCACATGCGAAATAAGCTGCCGAGTGCTCTGGTGTTATTGTTCGGGAGAGCCCAATCAGGACGAGGAATATATCGAACAGTTGATTCGATTGGCTTGGGTGGATTCGCTTCGTCCAAGGACAGATCTGGACCCAGAAGGTTGATCAGGACATCAACTGACGCGACTGTACCATTGCAGGCTATAGCCCAGCCTGTCCGATTTGGTGGTTCTCCAGATGATGTTAATGAGGCTCCCCAAGCAAACATCACATCATGTTCGAGGTGATCTGGGAAACAAGATGACTCTTTTCTTGATGAAGCGCCAAAGTAGCTTCTAACAGGGCCGTTGCCAACGGGATTGGCGTCTCTCTGTCTCGTCTCTTGGAAGCATGGTTGATTCTCAGGCCAATGCGAGGAACTAGCATACCGTGAAGAGTCGGTGAACATGTTGTATAACAATGGCAAGGTGTCATCGGGGGCTTGTCGGCATGATAGGCCTGGTCTGAGAGCCGGAACCGTAGCATTGATCTTTATGGTGGATGTATTTGATGATTGCGAAATGTTGAAGTTTTCGATTCCTTCAAGTGAAAATGCGGGAAACACCAGATTTTCAAAGACGTGACTCTGATACGTAAAATTGCTTTCGAGGATAAGTGGAGTCGCCGGGCCAGAATCGAATGCTACATGTTCGGTGATTAAATAAGGGTTTTCAACGAGAGTATGGGTAGTCCGTAGCTCCGCCACCGCCGAGGGCATGACAGTGGCTACCCGGAATAGTGACGCCGTTGCAACGGTGAAGAGTGACCCCAATAGAGCACTGGTCGTAGCTGCCAAGGCAGCAAAGTTCTGTACCCTAAACTCGCAATACAATGCGGCCAGGGTCACTCTTCGTTGAAGATCTAAAGATAATACCGACATATCCTGGGCATTCTGGCCAAGCAACACATAAGGAGCCCAGGTACGAATTTGAGAATCTATAGAGGTAATCCAGGTGGATAGCAACGCCAGAAGAACTGCTGGAAATGCAGTCCAAGCATAATGTAGGTATATGTATTCTCCACGTGCAGGTCCTAGGCCTTGCGCGTTATTGGCGTTCGATCTCCGAAGAGTCAGCTCGAGCCCACCAATAAAAATGGCTAATGCAATGAGAAGCGTGACTCGATAAGTCGGCCGTAGAACACGTGGGGTTTGACAATCCATTCGCCGACTTGCAGCATTTTCGTCATGGCGCTGGGATTTCTTCAATGGAAGAAGCTTCTCGCGAATGGCGAATCTTTTGTCTGTATACCTGTCGTCGTGAAGCGATCTTATCATACTTCTCATGCTGACTGACCCAAGGTCCTTCGAAAACTTCAGTGCGGAATCCTTCGTCGCCAGGAGTGGGATTGAGATGATGGGGCCCGGGTCAACAGACAGGGAAAGTCCTTTGATGGGCGTAATCACCAAGCCGAGACTGAGCATTATGCAAGATGCCAAAAGTGCCGTCATCAATTGACTTGAGAATGATCGAACGATCATGCGTTCCTCGTTTCTCCTAGATGTTCCCTCCGTGGTTATGTTTCTCTGATCCATTAGGGAGTTATAGATGACAGCTGCGAGGTGTGTCTTATAATACCTTGTAAATATATCCCCCAAGATTGTCGCGTTCTGTACGGATGGTGGAATGATGCAAGACCCTGAGCAATCGGTGTCCAAGAATAGACCAAGTATTACCGATGTTTTTGTGCCCAAGTCCTGGGTCATGGAGCCACCATGTGCCAGCTCGAGTGATTTTAGAGAGGAATTCAAGATATCCCATGGATTAACGTGATCTAGCACTCTGGAAGGGGCATCGTCGTGGCGAGATACTTTTGTTGTCCCAGTCGCGGCCCGGACAACATCAACTTGAGTAAGTTCATATGTTGGCTTACATACCAATACGATGGTTCCCGTGTCGGTGGTAGTATATGTCGTGATTGTTTCCGACCGGTTTCCCGGCAATTCTGTTGTTTGATTCGAAATGAACGCGTAATCCATGGTTCCAGATATGATTAGAAGCCGTCTGGCATCGAGGCTCGTGGAGTTGCATGTTTCAAGATCAAAGCCGTCGACCACTGACTGCATCTGAAAATAAGACGATGATTCGTTCCAGTAAGGTAGTGGCTGGCCTATAGAAAAAAGAACGTTTAAAGTCTTTTGGCAATCCTCGAACTGGATCGTCATCTCTTGAAAGTTTACATTCCAACCCCCAGAATAGTCGGAATGACTCGTCAGCTCAAGATTGTTAAACCCTTGAACTGCAGCTTGCTGGCAGTCGAGGCTAGCCAGAATTCCATCGACAGAGACGTTTACTTCTTGTGCACCTGCTCGGGTCGTTGTGAATGATTGGTACACGATATCATCTGAAAGACCGTTTAAGCGAGTGATATTTGATTTGGACAAGTCGGAAGAACTTTGGATGTCCATCACAAATGCTTGGACGATATCATTCGGGATGGACGACACATCTTGTAAGCGAGTTGGGTCATCGGAAAAGTGCGTCTGCAACAACAGGCTTTCTGGATTGGAGGGAATTTTGACGTTTTCCGTCACGAATAATCCTGTAGAGAGCACAATAAGGATGTTTAGAAGCAGTGAAACGGTTTCAGCGGCCGCTGCCCGGTGATGGCCATTTCGAATAGCTTGAAATGGAATCATAATTCTCCACATATCTAGGTAGTCGAGAGCCAGTGCATCTTTATTGTCGATGATTGGTTGTGATTGTAGCCATGGTATAATTCTGAGGATGCTGTATTCAACACGGCCCCAGTAAGCCATGGCCGCCGTCAGGATACCGGTTGTGCCATAACTCATAACATAACGTAACACTGGACCGCTTTGACTGAAGCCGTGGCGTGCATTAGAGATTGCGAGGATGGCCTCCAGAGTCACTATGAAAGCAACAAAGAGTACTGTGAAAGCCAACAAAGTCTTTCGGCGTAGATAGAAAGGCACATAATTCGATTCCATACGGCCAGGTCCCCCCGTAAGCTGTTGAGCATATTTGACGGAGCTCCGTTCTTGACACATGTCATGGGTCGTCTGCTCTGTAGCGAGAGCTTGCTCGTCTATCTATGTCAGCCGATGTAGATAGCTCGGTGTATTCTGATTGCTTATTACCGTTGGACTGGCTACAGCCATGATTTCTCAGATCCGAGGTCCTCTCAGTATTGGCATGTCCTGATTCGGCGATTTCTGACATAGTTGTAGAGAGCCCAGGTTGGATTGCATTGGCTTGGTGATCGACTGAAGCCCTCTTTACAGAACGAGTCAGATGCGACGCTTCACATTTCTTCGATCAAGTAAAACAGTAGAATCATACTAGAATCATCGAACAAGAAAAAAAAAAGTAAAATGGAATGGGACATTATGACGGCTTAGAATAATCACTTTGCAGTAGGTGTACTGGCCAGTGCACCCTTTATTGGCTGGAGGTTAACCAATGTGCCAGACTTTTGCATAATTCCTACCTCAACCGTACCTCTCAAGTGCTGTATTTCAAGGTGGCTCTGTTCGACGCCCCAGGTACCCCACGTTACATGACATTGCAGGCTGCATACCTACCTACCTGCATACTATTATCTCTAATTTCGGCGCGCTGGAGTGACGCCTCGTTCCGCAGCAGGTTTGTCATTACAACCTTAACAAAACCAAAGACGACATTTCGCTATTCGGCATGTCTGTGTCAACTTTGCGATGGTCATGCTTGCACTGGCCTGGGGCGGGTGGTCCTTTTGGCCCCCAACAGCGTGTACCACACCAGGGCTCGTTTGGCTGGATTTCAGCCGATACGGGGGTTCATAAGCCCAATCGGTACCAAGTCGGCGAGGTGCGATAATGCTTCCGTTATCCGCCATTAGACCAGCCTTCCAATATTGCCAAATACAAAGCATTGTTGTTGATCATCAAGGTGGTGCTTTCTTATTGGAGCTTAAACTGGTCTGATATGGGTGTCAATTATGTGATGTATTGATCTATGTTCTGCGCCTCCGGTTTTAACGAGGTGCACGCTTATTTGGGTGGCCCCGGGAGGTCCCGTACATCTATTTGAACACCGTGGTGCTGACCAGTGTGCTCAAGCACACCCCAGTGTGTGGGATCCATAATTCACCATCTGACAATTATTAAAATCTGACAATTGATAACTCCTTAGGTATTATTGCGTTATTCGCATTCTTCTTCCTGCGAAGGGAAACGATCAAAACCCGCGATACACTAGATGGATAAGCGAGGCGCCTATAGCGTTGCCAAGGAGCCATCATCTATCCGGTCTCGTGGCAGCTGAATACTATTCGATGCTGTCGAGGCAAACAAAAGCTCTTCGGAGCTGAGCTGTCTCGCTGTTTGCCCTCGCGCATTGGTTGAATCACTGTTATAATGGATTGGCGCGATTATGGAATCATGTATTTAGTTGTTGTACATGAGTGCATCCTCTCGAAACTCTCTTTCAGCTAGTGTATACTGTCGAGGTCGATATGGCCCATGACGTTAGCATTCCTCCCCAGTTTGGCCCTCCGTCCGCTCCACCGATACACGACTCGAGGAGTTTATGCCCAGTGAAGTTGAGACTCTCGACAGAATTACTGTCCCAAAACAGCCAATTGCCACCTCCATAGAAGTTGAAGGGGTGCGCGAATAATCCTTTTGGATCACTGTATGGTTTTGTTGAGTTTCGATACCTAATGTATCTCATATCGATAGCGTCAGTCGGTTGGGGCCCCGGCCTGGTGAGCACCGATGTCGATGAAGTTGTCGCAGTCACACAGGCGCTGGCATCTGCGTCCCAGCCTGTGCCGCTCCATGCATAATCGTTGGGCCATGCGATGAACGCAGTGGGAAACGCGCTGTATATATCCACTGTAAGTATAGATGCATTTTCTGAAGAATTTATAAACAGGAAAAAAATCCAGGAGGGGTACATACATTGTTGTGGTAAGGCCATCGCCATATGTAATACGCTGTATCTGCGTGCCCTCCGCGTTGGTCTCCGGCGGTGTCCAGTCATCTGGCATATGCGTCACGACCTGCGTGGTATATACCACCGTGTTGATTTGTGTGATTACGGTTGCCGTGAATGAGGACCATTCGATTTGGGGGATGTTTGGTATCGCTCCGGATTCTGGCAAGTCATCTACAGGGCTAACCCATCCGTATACTGCAGATTCGCCTTGAGGTTCAGCATAACAATTGCGAATACACTCTGACGAATTGTCGGAAGAGATTTGTCTCTCCACGGCTGATGCATTGTTAGTCCAGGTAATCGTCATCAAGAATATTGTACTATCATACTTGGCCAACTAAAGCTGATACCGGTATGCAGGAGCAGCATCAAGATTGCGCGAACTGCCATCGTGACGCAAAGCTTTTGATCTGACGGCAAGCGTTCATAAAAATCTAGAGGAGTTATCTAGTGAGAAGCTGGAAGACAATGGGTAAATTTCTTAGCACTTTTATCTACCCAGAAGATAGAAGACATGATTTTATTAATAGACAAAGAGTGAACGAAGCTGTTCAGCTTGCCAAGTTTCTGTCAAATGTTTCATCGTCCACATACTGCACATGCGCGCCCAGCCTTATTGCCAAGCTCGCATCTGCCATTGTGTCCATTGGCCCCCAAAAGCGCTGTCGCAACAATTTCCGACCCCGAGAGGGGTTTAAACCAATCGCGAGGCTGGAAACCTCATCGACATAGCCACCGTAAGCAGCCGACCCCACCTATGAGGTTGTACTGGGGCACGCAACGCAGAAGCGAACCAGGCCTCATGCGACATTTCAGTGGTCAGAACACTGAAACCTAAAAATAAGCTGACCTTGATGCGTCGTGCAGCATTCTGACCTACGTTCAGCTGTGGTCTGACCCTGATTATAGGGCCTGGGCACAAATGCAAGGTACTGACTGAGCACACATATCTTATGAAAAGGATTCGTATCGTGGCATCTTGACGCATACTCAAGAACCCTGTTTGATAAGCTATGTTTGGTTGTTCGTCGTCGTCTCTTATTCGTCTGTCACCGCATCTGTAGCATCCAACGAGCTATCAGCGCCTGATGTAGTCTCTGCAACATGGTTCCTGGTCCCCATCTCACAATGGAGGGACCGATCAAGTTCACATTGATCGGACTTCAAATCATGTATATTAAATTGGATGGAACTCTGCAGAATCTAGGCCTTGCAAATCGGCTCCCGCCTTGCTCCCGATTTGCTTTTCTTTTCGAATTCATTTTGTGCTGCACGTATGCAATTGCCTTGTCAGCAGTGCTTACTTCACTGTGCTCAATAATTTAATCTGAGCCCCTTCTCACTCGTACAGACATAATAGTGTTCCCGAGACTCAAATGAATAGTCATCATCTTGAAAGGCAAATGGCTGAACACAGGGCAATATCTTTGCATGAGCCACCCACATCACCAGCATCCCAGGATACAGTGGTACATCAAACAGAGGATATGTTGACACTGAAGAATGATCCGTCGTCGGATGAGATCAATGCACTGGAGTCCAAACATACCATGTCTACCCAGGCTCGCACGCTCTCGAACGACTCTCGATATCATGAGCCTGCTTCGAGGTCGACCAAGCTCCAAAGAACATGGCTCTTCGTCCTGACTGCCATGCTGGCAACCATTGCATTCGCAGTCGTCATCATCTTTGTGCTTTCGACTTACTTTGCGGAAAGAGCCTCTGAAAAACGTCAGCAATTGAACAACTTGATGAAGGTGGATGCTAGCATGACGCTTTCTGTCCTCAGAGCCTCTCAGGGTCTGTTGTCGGTCTTGATGGGCCTGTTACTAGAGGAGGCCTTTACTCTACTGCAATGGGACTTCTTGAACAGACCGAACGGGCTTCCCTACACGAGTATACTGATTCTTTCGCCAACTACCACCGCTGCGGGCATATTTGCACTTGCCAAATCATCAGTAGTGGCCGCATCGGCCAAGTGCTGGGCAGTACTACGGTCAGTCCGCATCTCTATTCTTGCAAGATCATTGATTCTAACTATAATCAGGCTCTTCTTAATCGCCGTCGTATGGCTCTCAGGCCTTGTACTATTCTGTACGTCCTATCAGGCCAACAATTCCCAACGCATTGTTTACTGATTCGTGCCGCATAGTCAACACGTCCATCACTACTGTATATGACACTGCGTATACCTACCCGGTCACTGCAGGCGTTGGGCCTTTCAATGGATCTCTCGTGGCACCATTCAAGGAGTTCCTTCATTCTTTGCGGCCCGGCTACCCCTATGAAACCCTCCCCTACACTTACTTTGCGGCCGCATATACCCTCGTCATCAATCCTCTTCTAGCCGTGACGGTACCTCCTGCCAATTGCACTGGCGAGTCCTGCTCCTCCTACTTATTCTCTGGCGGCCTAGAAATGGTTGTCCCTTGGGTGCCACAGAGTTATAAAGAACACTCCCTGGTGAAGGTCGAAAAGACGCCGTCGATTCAAGTCGATTTTTCGAGCCCTATCCAGGACGATCCAGTGTTTCAAGACTCAGATTGTGATGTGTTTGGGCAGACAGGAATAGCGATTGGGATCCGATTGTGTTTAGATGAGTCACCTCAGAAAGAAGGATGGATTCGAGCAGGTATGATCCCACCGAAAGATTCTTGTCTTTGGTTCAACATGCTGACACTCTTCCAGCGCTGTATACGTGTTCAAGGGGCATAGACAACGGGTCATGCACGGCTCATGTCCCTCGGCCAAACATTACTGCAGAGGTATCATTTTATACCCTTCAGACATCACTCGTCGCATCCCGTCTGAATTACAGTATCTTGGGTGTGTTCGATTCTACGGTATGTCTTACCCTGTAGAAGCGCTACCGGGGATTTTGAGCTAAACATCAAATCCACGCAGCAACCTGCACAAATATACGACCTCGATCTCCCCGCGTACCGCGAATCTCTCAGGTGGCTTCTGAACTTCACGGCAGCAGACTTGCCAGCACCATCCGCAATTGCGCAAAGTTTCTGGGGATCTCAAATGCAACTCAGCGACCCGTCGACTTGGGGCATTCTAGCCCAAAACTTCCAAAGCATCCTCGTGTTCCCCTTCTGGCTGTTCAATGCCAATAACTGGGGCAACACGGAGCTGAAGGAAAACGTGACCGTCTCCACACTGCCTCCCGACTTTTACACCCAGGCCTCGCTGATCGAGCCTTACTCAAAGCTGGACGTTGACGACACAATGTTTGCAATCTTTCTCGGCTTTCAGAGTCTGGCCATGGGCTTCGTGCTCTGTGTGCTGGTCTGGATATGGACTGGGTCTCGGGTGCCTCCCAAGATGTCGTCGTTCCCTTTATTTGACTTGAGCTTCAGGACAGAGAGGTGCAATGAGGTAGAAATACCAAACGTTGCACAAGCCGACAATTCGGATATCATACAGGGCGTCAAAGATGTCCGATTGATGAGCTTGGGTGTCAATCAGGCCGATGCGAGCCGAAAACAATCATGTTAATAGTCATGCTGTTGTAGAGCGCGATGCGACCACTGTTAAAGTATCGCGCAAAGACGCCTTAAAACAAATAGCACAGTTGGCAATTGTCAACCGGTTCGTTCTCAATAAAAGAGCAGCTGTAGCTCGAGAAAGATATAACATCACTACTCAAAGTGCTTAAAGCTATTTAGCATTGCTTCTTTATATACCTCAAGTAGCTTTCAAAGAAACTTCAGACCATGGTATGCGCTTTGAATTAAGCTTTCGAAATCCTCCATGCACCAAAGGTCGTTTCATGTTATTTACTCAAATATATTCAAGCCGCCCACGGCGGGACGGCCCAGATGGCGCAGCGCGGTCACAACGGCACAGCCACTGCGCCATCCTAACCCCGCGCTGCAGCTGGCTGGGCTGAGTCTTACCTCGTACAACCTACATGCAGGTAAGTAAGTGTTTATTCGCTGATCCAACGAAACACAAACATTGGATTGGTAGCTAAGGGTTGTATTTAATGCATATTACACTCGGGCTAAGCCCCATCCACGGTGTGACGGGTGACAGATTGTTCGTCGTTTATAGGACTACACGCAACAAGTGTACTTGGTGCAGGAATCACCCGACTTGGAGTATTAGTAGCCCTCATGCCCATTGTGAGGTAGGCTAGTCAATTTCGATACCTGAGTCGCCTCCGTATACACACATACACACATACACACATACACACATACACACATACACACATACACACATACACACACATACACACATACACACACATACACGCAAAATAACAGTTTGGTTTTTTGATGGACGGGCTGACCGGACCATGACTATCACACCTTTATTGCCAACACTCAGCATCACTATTCGTTAAGGCGATATGGCTCTAGCTACGGGTCCTAGAATAGCCATTCTCGCTATATTTCTAATGCTCGAAATCTCAACCTTCCTGTTGGAAATTCTCAGGTTAAGGTTGACTCGTTTCAAAGATAGAATCCCTTCGGTACGATTGGTGATTCCAATACTCATTGTGGTTGTCGGCATCATCATGATCTCTGTGACTTTCGCGGGGATCAAAGGGAATCCATATGGCCTCATTGATCAGTGCACAACACAGGTTGATGCGGACGTGGGTGGTGATGGCGTACGCATCGCAGTATGGGTACAGATTGGATCTCTGCTTGGCATCTCGATCTTGAGCAGTTTCCATACATCTGTTACTGGAGTCAAGGAAATCGGAGCTGGGCTGATTCTGACCCACCTGTCTCTCTCCATCGCCATGTTGGTGCAACTGGGCCAGGGCACTCTAAGTTTCGCGGATGCTGTCATTGGCACCATGATCCTCGATGCGCAGAACATGGCACTATCAATCCAACTAGGATCCAAGGAGACTCTTGCCTCTCGCTGGCAAGTTGGGATAACCACTGTGACCCAGGCATTCGGCCTGGTAGTCGAGGCTATTTTTATATCGAAGCTCACTTCTGGGCCTTCATTGGTCACAGATCAGTGTAAATGCCTCACTTTCTTTTGGTGGGGCTGGATCAGTAATTGTGCCAAGATTCCATCTCAAGCAGCGATACTCTGGACTTATTACGCTTGCCGGCTCATTGCCATCTGTCAATCCAACTTCCATGCGCTTTGGAACACGAAAAATTTCGATCGCGCTCAAAAAGCGGAGAACGATCCAAAAAGCGTTCTCGAAAACCGCCTTCTCGACAATGTTACTTACCTCCATATGAACAAGTATGGTGTTGCCATATTCAAAGAATACCCAGCTACCGTGACCTTCATGTATGGCTTCTATGGATTGTTCGCTTTGACATCGATGATAACAACCGAAAACACCATGTCTCGTTATGGAATACGTCCCTCGTCTCAAATCAGCTCTATTGGACAGATCATAGCCCTGGTCATTGCCGGTGCATCTGTCACCCGAGCTATCTGGCTACTATGGAGACTATTCAAGGGCCTCGACGGCGAGGCATTTGTCCGTTGGCCTCTCAGTCTTGAACCAGCCAAGGTCGGCCTTCAGTATCAGAGTTTCTGGCCACAATTTGATACCTTTTTATCTCCGGACCAGCTCCTCCTTGGTGACTTGGTTACAGATGAAGTCAGGCCTGAGAACAGTATCCTATCGCGGAATGACAAGCCAGTACAGCCTCATGAGACGCAAGAATATTATGAAGTATCACAAGAAGAAAGTCGGATGGCAAAAATCAAGAGCGGTCTCATATGCGGTCTCGATCTCATCACTCGTTCTAAATCAACTCATAACCGTCTGTCCGCCGCATCCGTCAAACGTCGTTCATTTAGCCCGGATCAGAAATTTATAAAAGAACGATTTTCCAGTCTTCGGTCTACACATCCTCGCTTCGAATCAGAATTGAGATGTGTATACATGGTAGTGTCACAAAGAGTTGCTTACGACTATACACTTGCGATAGGTCATACGACAACGTCAGCGGGAACTTTGGGAGAGACATCGATCCAACCCGAGGCGGGAGTTTCTTTTCAAGATGTTGTTTTCTTTAAGGAGGTAGTCTTAGATGTTGGGCTTCTAAGAATCCTGCTTCCGATCCAAGAAGACGGAAACTTCAAAGTCTCCCTTGTTCCCTTGAAAAAACAGAAAACAAATGTTACACTGAAATTGCCACGTGCTGGCGCTGATGCTTAGGACGTACATTTCACCGGCCACTACGGCAATTTCACCCTTTTTCTACCTTTCACCATCTAACCATAGCTTTTAGTGCCACAACGTAGATTGCAGAGATTCCGCCGATTCTATCACTCTTCATAGCGATAGCTTGGTAGATATTCACTCGATCAATTACTCCGTTTCTTCCGTGACTACCCGGCCCCCTCTGACCTCACAGAAATAGTCGAGTACTCAACCCAAGATCAACCGCTTGGGTATACTAGATAGCTCTTTAGCACTTGTTGAGGTAGTGTTATATGGCGTGCATTTATGGAGAACGGTCCAACATCGTTAGAGTACTACCTGGCAGAACGGCATAAACTTCATGCACTTGTGTTGGGCGTTTGTCATCACCAAGCTGACCAGCCTGGAAGAGCGTTGGTGGGAGCTTTGGGAATTACGGTGCATCTATCGAATCATTGATTGCCTGGATAGCATCGTGGATGCATTTGATTTGCGAGACAGAGTCACTATACTTGATTGGCTCGCGGTCGATAGGCTCCTCGCTCATCTCGATCCGCAGATAGCCCTGTCTGGCGAAGATCATCCACGCTTGAAAGCGTGTGCAAAGACGAACAGCCAGGACATTTCCTGGTTCAATCAGCCGCACAATGTCATCATGGTTTCCGAACAAGTCGCCTTCTTTCCATTCATAGGATGTGGTCTGGAACCGATTCCTGTGACTTTCCCAGACAAGCTGGACCCCGTCTTTGGAGCGAGGTGTCTTGGATGTCGGCCCCTCGAGAATGACAAGCTCGAACCATGTCCAATTGCCCGCGCTCGGGTCATCGACAGGACCCTGGTCGTGTAACTCAGCAAAATGTCGGATGCTCTTGATTCGTTGTATTGTTTCTAATCGCAGAGGACGTGATTGAAACCAGACCTCCGATACAATTTGATCATCCTGAGATGTCAGAACGGTCTCCTCGCCCGTAGCTTTGAGTACGTATTGCCCCTCGGAGATCGAACCCTCAGCGGGCAGATCGGGCAGAGTCTTAATATCGCTCAATTGAAAGTCCGGCATGAGCGCGATGGGAGAGTTTGAGGAGAAATAACTTGACAGGGTATCATGAGAGTGAAAATGCCTGAACGTGAAAAGGGGCGTTCTTCTCGAATTTATACAGCTTTGCGTCGTGCTCTGCCTTATGTTTGTCACTTGTCGTAACCTATTCTCTGTCTTTCACATGTTGAGGCTTTGAGAACGAAGAAAATAGCTGCAATGCTGTTGCCGATTTGTCCTACTGGCACAAAGAACAACTGCCGCGTCATTCAAGCGTGTCTCGTTGCCTTTGGTAGCCTAAACTTCCTGCCACCAACAGCAGAGCTCGAACATGCCTCGTACAGCTTCAAGACTTCGGCCCGCGATGACACTTACTAAGCCGGCGTAGCATGTCACATTCTAGTCCAGATATAAGAAAGCTTTTCTGATAGTGAAGAACCGTCGTCGTGCTGGGTTCTGGTTGCAGATAACACAAATCCAGCACCGATTCACGCATTCCCTATAGGCGAACGTATTTAGTCTCGAAACCATAACACCATTGGGGGCATTGATACTAGTTAATCGCATCCTGTATGATTTGGAAGATAGTGTCGCACTGCAGAAGATAGCACCCACTGTAAATGACCTGCTAAAGTATATATCGGATGGCTCCTTAAAATTTTCTTATTTCATTCTTTTCTTCTCTCTTTCTTTTCAGTAGCTCGGTATTTGGGAGTCAGACTTCTTTCGGAAGCTCCCGCGTTCGCAATTTCGTCCTTTCATTGGCTTAGGTGAGGGACATCGCCCCCCTTAGGCGAAGTCTCTTTTTCATTTTCATTGGTTTCCCCTAGCATTTGACATATATTATTGGGAGACGCTGTCCCAAAGAGAAAATATTCCTATTGACGCATGCCAAGGGATATAACGCAAAGCTTTATATTGCGTTAGTTAAAGCCAGACAAACGCTTTCTCAGCTCCAAGTCGTGCCAAGCCAGCTAAAACTGTGGCACAGCTCACGATATTCCAGTCTACCATAAATTTCGTTTCTGCCATTGGTCGGACCCCGAAACTTATATTGAATATGATTTTGAAACACCAGCTGAGATACCAAAGGAGCTTAGAGACGTGGTAACGTTTGGCGCCATTATCCTTTGCGATGCTTCCCGCAGTGTGCCCTGGGTGCCATCTTGGCGGCACCTTTATTTTGCGCCAAAGTCAGCTTTTGCAGTCCATGAGCTGAGCTTGATGGGCGAACCGCTCCTCTCATCCACTCCACAATCTATCCAAAATGACTGCTATAGCCAAAAGCAAAAAGAAACATACAACACCGGGGATTCCCCAGCCGTCACCGATCTAAGTACTAATCCAGCCGTCTCCAGTTTATCTAGGGCAGAGCGGACGGGATGCCGAGCTTTCTAGAGCGTATGGTCGTATGTGATCGCTCCCTCTTTAAAAACTTTAATCATGCACATGTTCATATTCAAATCAGGCTGGTAATATAGTAAATCGATGACGATTGGAAATAAGAAGGAGTATATGCAAAGAACGCCTGCAAGTAAACAATTGACTGAGATAACTCCAATGACTCCATAGACAGTTGAGAACCACAGCGCGCCGTATTATCCCCAGGAATAAGAGCTCACCGGCCCACACTCCAAACTCCAACCAGTCTACCTATACACGCACCACGCACTTATCCTGCGGTGCTTTTGTTCCACCCACGCTTGCCAATTGTAGTCCAAAGAACAGCCCATAATGCTAGGAATATGAATAGTGGGACCGTAGCATTCTGTAGGTCCCCTTCATGGCCCATGTCGGATAGCCAAAGGATCCAAAAGACAACAGCAAGTGTTACGGGGAGCACAAATGTGTAAAGAATGCACCCTATGATATTGGGAAGTTCAAAGGCGCTGAGGCCCCAGCAGGCCTGTGCACAGTCCGGGTCTCGTTCAGGGTCCCATTTTTCGTACCGCTTGGGGATCTTGGGCAGATGGTTCTCGGCGCCGGTGCCTCTAGCCTCCACATCATCGCCTTTCGAATTACACCAAACCTGATGCATGAAGCCTCTCCTTCGGCAAATGTATGGGCAATTATGATATGATTGATGAAAGAACTCATGGGAAATAGGAGGCCGTCCATCGTCCACGGCCCGAGTGAAGTCATAGTCGAGACTTTCTTGGGCGTCAGGTAGATAGCAGTCTTTCTCAGAACCTTCAGAATGGCTCAAGAATCTCCCTTGCCAGAAAGTGAACTACTTTGAAGTCAGCATTGTACAACTACACCCATATTGACAGACGAGGACTTACCCGGTCGAATCCCCAATGCGAAAACCGGTATATGGATAAATAGCGGCGGAAACAGGACTGCCGCGCCCTATATGTTTCGTGAAGAGCCTCAAGGAATTCACACTCGCTGGGCGTTGCTTCCGTATCAATATGAGCCAGTGGAAATCCTCTTGGCTTCACGTGGACATAGCGGCCTTTCCGCATTGGATGATCGTCATCAGGATCGTCTTCAGATTCAGATTCTTCCTCGGATTCATCAGTGTCGGATTTGACCTCGAAAGCCGCATTGGAATTATGATGCGTTTGTTCCCGAAATGCTTGGAGTTCAAAAGCCTCCGTGTCACCAGCACTCGGTGCTGTTGAAGATTGCGACCGTGGATCAAGTGGGAGATTCTCGACAGGCAAGGCTGCTTGGCCATGAGGCAGGGGGTTGTGCTGCAATGCGTTACTTGCCGTACTGGGTATTGCTACCTGCTGAAACTGTGGCGCCTCGCCAGGCCAAATTTGTAGCAGCCTCCGTTGAAAGTCGATCAACATCTCCACTTCCTGACCCAATTGTTGTGGTATCACATCGCTATGTACGTTCCCATGGCACTTAAGACTGGTCAGTGAATACTTTTCTATTGTGAGCCATGAATAACACTTACGCCGTGGCATTTCCAGTGAATATACGTTTCACCGCGTCGCAGCCGAGGTAGTGGAGCTGGTAAGGGCCACCACAACCACCTTGTTCCAGTAAATTCTTCCCACCATCTGGTGAATGAGCTCCACAAGGACAACGGAGCGCACGTCTCAATTCGAACGTTAGCATAATCCGTGATGTGCATGTACCGTAGATAGTTCGCTGCCTTGGTGAAGCGTTGAGGAGGATGATAGTTCAAGAACTGGAAGTACACCTCAGATGGGTGCGGGTCCAATCCTGTAAACGACGTTCCGTGGCCGGAATGGCTTGGCCATAGAGCCGAGGCTGTTTTCGTGACGCTGTCCAAGATGTAGCACGCAGCTTCGACATCAGCACTGGCTAGGACACTTTTCCATGTTCTGCTTGAAATTTCGGATCCAGCGAGGATAAAGGAGTGTATCCAATGCGTGTCACCGCTCGATGCCGCGATATCCAATGCTGTATTTCCATGTCGGTCTCTCAAATTGACGTCGACTCCCCGCGATATGAGAAAAGCAGTGATCTGCTTCTCGCCTCTATTGGCTGCGAGGTGGAGGGATGTTTGACCGGAACCGTCTGTCTTGTTCACATCAGATCCTGCGTCCAGCAGTAGCTTGAGCACCTCGATTCTGGATTCCTCGTGTGCTGGCTTTCCAAAACCGATGCCGGGAAATGATTCCCCGTCAATCAGAACCCACTGGAGTGCTGGTATCCCTTCTTTAGCAACACGAGCGGAAACGCCAGAGCTAAGCAGGTGTTTGACTGTGGGCGCTGAAACCGATTGACAAGCATGAAAAAATGCACCTTCTACCCACTGAGCACTTGAATGCTGCATGAGTCGAGCTGCTTGAGTCTTATCAAAGTGGCATGCAAACTGGAAAATGGTGTACACCACGGTTTTATCCTCATGATGCATAGGAGCGCCATGGTTCAGAAGGATGTCGACTACATCTGCATGACCAAAACGTGCTGCCAACTGGAGAGCCGTAGTCCCCTCATGAAGCTGAGGAATATCGGCATTTCTGACAAGATACTGGATCGAGGAGGTAGCACCTCTGCATGATGCGATTGGTAGCAGCTCACGATACTGATGTTGCCGTTCGCTCTCTGGAAGTGAATCCAACAGAAGGCTTAGAGGCTCTACCACCCCCGAGTAAATGGCATAATGAAGCGAGTTGCGGACACCGCATCGTCGTTGCCTATGTACCCGTCTGTCAAGATGCAGCATGGGATCTGCTCCAAGGTCTAGCAACAACTGCGCTAAACAGAGGTCGTAGCTAACGATTGCTGCCGACAGAGCGGTTTCGTGGTTAACAACAGTGTTTAGGACACGAGGCCCAGCAGCTGGATTGGCAAAGAATGCCGTCAGCGACTGAGCGACTGCTGTGTGGCCTCGTTCGATCGCGTATATGAGAGCTTCTGCCTTTTGCTGAGGCCGACTATCTCGGACCTCCGGTCGGCTTAGCAACAGTGTGACGATCTCATTGTGACCACTCCAGGCTGCAGCCATCAACGGTGTCCATTGGTTGTCCGATCGGGATCTACCATTTGCCATCATAGATCGCTCATTGAGTGAATGGCTGACCTGTGCCTTGTTGCCCAGAAGGCACCATACAATGACTTTCGTGGGACGTTCAGGAAGGCCTCGCTGGCCTGACCCTCCGCGACTCTGATGATATTTCCATATCTCAAACCATAGTTTGAAAATCAGCGACTCTGGACTGCTAAGTCTGTTCAAAGAGCGTTGTGCGATTGCCTGAAGATTGCTCAATTCCAGATGGGAATGCCAGTAGGTTGCTGCATAAGATAGGAATGGCCATCGTAGACTCAGAGCTTTGACTTCTACCGTGGGCAAGGCTGTGTACTCGTTGCTCTCAACGGCCCCCAAGTAGTCAATGCAACTTATCAGAGAGTCCCGGTGAAAGTTGAGAAGCTGTGGCGAAGCATGCTCTCTGCTGCCATCTTGACGCTTATCGATGAAATCGTAGAGAAGAAAGTCTTTGACTGATTGATGCACAAAGTACACCTCAGAGTTGATAACTTCGATCAAACCGCCGAGTGCTTTGTGGAGCATCTCTTGAGATGAATAGTCCGTTGACGCCTTGAGATGCCGGGGACTGCGAGGCGTGAGAACGTCACTCAGCTCGACTAAAGTCAAGGGTTTCTGCGCAACGAGAATCCACTTGAGAGCTTGATGTGCCACAGATTTGACCTGATCATCGTGACGATCCAAACAGGATTGGTATAGGCTCGAGAGCTGCTTGGGAAGGCCTGCAATGTTTTCCACCAATGCTTGACTCCGTGGACCACTTAATAGAAGAGCAGCGAAGTCGTGTTGATTGCGTTGTTCCATATGTTTGGAGTTCGGAAAGTAGCCACCGGTTGCTCCACCAAATGAGGAAGTAATTGCTTTTACGATAACTTGCGCCCACAGCAGTATACCTGCGGTGTCCTGTTTCGATGCAAGCTGTTCTAGGATCGGCGTCAAAACTTCAGGAGTCTCCGTTTGGCCAAGATGTAAGCGGCTCTCAAGAATGACCCAAGCGTCTTCCTTCAGACCTTTCGCCGCATCGCCGAGTGAAAGATCAACGTAGTAGCATTGAAGATCCTCATCGAGCCCAATATCGGACAAATATCTTCGAGAACTGATCCCTATTTTCAACTGAGTTTGAGTTGTTGGGTTTGGAGAATTGTTGACTGTTGGAGCCTTTGTCCGATCGAGACGTTGTGGCTGCTTGAGCTGACATAGAGCACTAATGAGGTTGTGCTGAATAATCTCGTTGGCCTCATCCAATCCATCGATGAGGATGATTATTCTGTTGTGGCTGGACAAATGATGAAGGGTCGCCGATAGCGAGAAATCAGAGTCATCCTTCCAATACTGGTGTTGCTTCAAGCTTGCTGGTACGAATTGCATCAAGGAAGGCTGGCGTGCAAGGACTTGATGCACCAAGGAGCGCAATATGAGCTCCGAGCTTCTGGGAGGTGCTGTGTAATCAACGAAATAACTACATACGATGGCTGACGGCGACTGCCTCTTGTAGTATTGAGATGATGTGTCAGCGACATCTTGATGATGGCCGCGTAGGTCTCGCGTAAGGAACCTCATGAGCGTCGACTTTCCGGCGCCGGGCTTCCCTTTCAACCAGAAAAGCCCACTGTCCTTTGTATCAAGCCATGCTCTGTAGGAAGAATGCGACAGGAACCAACTCGAGGTTCCTATGGCTGGCAAAGGCTTTTTGTATTCACATGAGACGAGCTCACCAGGCCATAAACGCTCAAGCAGCTTGACACCGTCAAATCCAATGTACCTTCGAGACGCGTCTACGATATAGTCAGCGTCGAAAGTCAAAGGGGTCTGAATTGAATTTACCTGATTCGAGGGCCTCATTTAGCATCCATGCAAGTCTGTCTCTAATTCTCCGATATGATTTATCATTTCGTGAGTCGACATGCAAAAGCTTGTTGTGGCTGGTGTTCAAAGCAACTATGCTTTCTCCAGCCAGTCCAAGAACTGCAATTTTGAAAGGTACTACCTAAATAATTGTTTGAGATGCGCTGCCTATGCCTGGAGGTTTGGTGGAACTCACTGGTGCTATAGTCTCATAGAAAGAAGCGACTCGCAACTGCTTTGCATAGATGTTGACCCAAGCTACATGCAACGAATCCAAGGATAAAGCAAGCCGACCGCGACTCTGCATGCTGAAAACAGATCCAGAGTCAGTACACACATCTTTGCTTCCCAGTTTCAAGGGTGCCCGAAATGTCTCGCCGGCAAGCAATTCCCGCAGTTCTTCATCATAGATTGCCTCTCTTTGAGGTGTCCCGAAGAAAGCGATTCCTCGAGTTGAATCCGCTATGGGATGGAACTCGGGGTTCTTCGAAGCCAGCAGTAGTGCAAGCTTTGCCACCACTCCCGAAAGACTGTGTGCAATGAAGATGATGGGGCGATATGGGTCGGTCCGCCGCGCCTCCAGAACAATCTTCAAGAGCTTGGTGGCGGGGTAGCTCAAGTCTCCGTCCAGATTGTCCTGTAGGTTGAGTTCGCAAGGTATTATGCGTGCTTGGGGAAGGTCGATCGAAAGGAATTCCTTGAGTCCATTGTGGCCAACGTCATGCGTGTATTCGGTGAGTGACTTTTTGGATACAGTTTCGCTCGTGACGATGACAAGACTGCGATCAGTGTTAGAAAATTGCCTCGAATATTAAAGCAAGTATCGACCTACTCTACCCTGTTCAAACTAATATTTGTGAAGTCTAGACCAGCATGCCTCTTAGCATCTGGTGAGCCTGTTACGGGAGGCTTTGCGCTGTCATCAGTATGGTTGATAGCTTCTCGGTAGGTGGGAGAATGAACATTTACCATTCTGCACTCGATGATAAGGCGCCAGCCTGCGACAGCAATGGGAGTAGATGGATCTCATCTGAATAACGCATACGTCGAATTCATCGAGAGGAGTCAGTTTCTTACAACGGTAGATCTCAGGAAGATAGGAAAACATGGCGAATTTCGAGCCAGCTGAACAATCATCAGATTACTTCCCGGGGAGGCCTCCATTATTCAAATACGAAAAACATACGTAATGTCCACGTCGGACACTGTTCATTCTGGTCAGGGAAACCCAGCAACTTCCTGTTGCATGCTCTCGATTGCACGGATTGACCATCGCCACTGGTATCCGTGGTCGATATCTCTACTACCGCGCTTAGAATCTCCACCGACAGCCTCTGGACCAATAGTACCTTTTTCCACTTCGCAATGTATGATCATGCAAGTTCTTGATGCGTCTAGATTTGACGTCACCGGCTGCAAGCTGTGGTTGGTGGCTGGTCGCGTTGCTTGTTTTCCAGCATCTTGACGGCGAGGCACACAGCTATTGTGGCAAAGCACTCGGTGAGCGTCTTCCAAAGCCTGAATGTGGTGGAAATGCGCCCAACGGTAAGGAAACAGGCTTGGGTTGATTCGTTGATAGCCGAGCAAAAGCCACATTTCCGCCATTCTGCCTTATCCCTTAGGCCTAGAAAGTGGTCAGTACAAGATACGTACTGTTTTTGGGGCTGGGATTTGATGCAGTCAACTTGCTTTTTTATACCTGGAAGTACCGATGGAGCATTTACGCACGCGATCGGTACATGCAAGACCCGAGCCCTATGCAGATAAAGACAACCGGGAGGACAAATCTTGCTTGGTAGCGGCCCAAAAGAATTGGCAGGAATACTGACGACTCTCCGGGCTCAAAGGGATACGCCATAGACTAGCCAGATGTCTATGGCTACTGGTTACTTACCTAAGTATGGAGCACAGCCCTGTGTCCAGACACTTGCCCCCTTTTTGCGCCACATTCAAGCATGCCGAGCATTTTAAGCTTTTTACTGCCGGTACCTGCTGAAAGCTGTGTTGAGCTGAGCGACCGTAAAATGATGTTGGGAAGAGAACCCCGCAATTGTTGACCCTATAGCTATCGAATAACAGGAACTGGCACACAAATTGGCGATTCGGCGGGAATCAAACCATCAGTGCTGTTTTCAAGCGCGCCCGCTCTGTCAGGGTACCGCTGTTTATATATTTCAGTCTTTGATCATGTCTCTGCGCCACTTGGTAATAACGACCACAGCGGTTCCGTCAAGTCCAACATTGGCCATCTCGTGGGCAGTAGCAGTTTATCTGAAATCCACAAGTGTACACTTATCCTCGAAAAGAGCATCATTGTGCCCAATGCAACATCCAAGGGACCGAACGTAAAGTTCAGCGCCAAGAGGAACAACATCCAGGTAAGCGACTTCTCTTTTGATCTAGCAAGTGGAATGAAGGCCTGACATGCAGACAGATCCCTCGGTCTTGCGTCCCTTGGCCGGACAGCGGCTTGCGCCGAGGATATTGGCGCACAATATATCACCCAATTCTGGCTACCTACCCGTGTCTCACAATATCATTTCCAACCTCTTTCTATTCTCCCACACCAGCTTCATTCATATCGTCCCGTGTCCCAATCCACCGCTCTGCAATGCTAGAAACCCACTTCCTTGCCTTCTCGTTGTTCTCCCCTTCCGATTCACCCTTGTTTTCACTCAAGACATGTTCAACCGCCTCCATTGCATTTCTCACCCAACCCTCCACGTACCACTCCTCCTCAAAGAGTGAACATATGGCCATAAACTGCGCGAGAACCACCATTGCCGGCGGTCTCCTCTCTCGCACCAGCGCGAGGAATTCCTGCGAGACTATTGCGGTCCACTTGAATAACCATACGAAATCGTGTTTGATGGGCCGGGGATCTTGCCGTCTCTGTCGTAGGTGCCATAGTCGTTCCTTTTTCGCTTCCAAAAGCCGCACAGCGCCGCTATGAACGTCCTCTAAACAGACAAGAGCGGCGGCACAGAGTTCGCGCTCTTTTCCTCCTTTCTCATTCACATTGCCAGCATCCCCGTCGCTGTCGTCGGCGTCGAATACATCGTCAAGCATTTGTTTTCTGAGCGTGGCATACCACTCTCTTCGACTATCCCGAGACGACGAGGGGAGTGGAAATTGAACTTCGTCCGCGGACGTCGAACTGGTTATCAGGTGCCGATACGCGGTTGTTTGGAAAGCACCCATATCCAAGCCGGCCTTGGCTATAACGCGTGTGCCGCGTGTGTTGATGAATAGGGATAAGAGGTTGGAGAAGATGGTTTCTGACCGTGCTGATTCTGCAGGTGTTTCTGGTGATACCGGACGTGAGATCGAGGAGGACAATGTTGGAGGGGGGTGAACAAGAGTAGTATGGCTATGCCGACGCTCTTCGTGTGGCTGATCGCCCTCGTCTCCTTGTGTCTTCTCAGTGCCCAAGGAAGGGGAATTATCAGAAATACTCGCCGTTGCGATAAACGCCGTCAAAACAGCCATTGCGTAGACCGGCCCCGCCGGCCACGACTGCTTGGAGTGCACTGCAAACTCCTCGTTATGGTCGAGATCCAGGGCTTGTTGGAGCAAGCTGCGGTAGACGGGCATGGCTTGGTCTTGGTGGTAGGTAAAGGCGCGCATGTAGTCATCGTGCGTGAAGTTCTGAGCCGTGGTTTGGGACCTGGAAGCTGAAGTGGGAGATTGAGGTGGCTCATGGGGTTTCCGTTTGCTCGCGAGGTGGAGTGCCGAGATAGCGAGCATGCCATGTAGAAGAAATGGATGCGATGCTGCGTCGATAGTGATTGTAGTCTGCCATGCTTCAATGAGAGACGGGTAGCTGCTAAAGGTGTAGACTGTCTCCGTGGAGAAGTGGCTCATCAGGTAGAGGTCGAGGGCCCATGATGTTTGTTCGCTATGGGTTGTTGGTGGTGCATGATCGGAAAGACGCGGACTTGGATGTCTAGGTCGTGAGACGAGGAGTAGGAGGCTGCAGTGCTCTCTCCTTCTTGTACAATTGCTGCATGGCACTTTTTCATCGCACTTTTAATCACGTCAATGAGATTTTGGTCTCTGGATCATGAAAACGATACAGGTGGCCTTGATTGTTCACACTTTGGACAGTCAGCAGAGAGTGAGTTAACTAACTTACCTTTACGCGCCGCTGCTTGCACCGGTCGCATCCGCCGCGAGACTTTGTGCCACCACGTCTAACGGGCATGTCGAGTAGACTCAGTAGAGAATCCGAGGTATAACGAGGTGAGATGGCGTATGGCCGAGTCACAACGTAGCACAATCTCGGAAGCGAAACGTAGCTGTTGTCTCCACCACCATGATGCTGTCTACCCTTTATGCGAGAAGTCCGAAGTAATACATAGTAGTGCCTAGCCCTCAAAGCTAAAGGCGGTAATGATGAGGTAGATCGCCCTAAACTTAGCCAAGGATGGAGGTGGTGCTTCGCCTGACTTAGTGGAACCTCCTGAGCCTCGCGACTTGCAGCGATTGGTCGCTGTCAGATATTTCTGTGCCTGTATATCCACCAGGGGTCATAGTTCCCTTCCATAATGGACGTAAAGCAACTTGAAGTCGAATTAGTATTTGCAAACATTCCGGACCAAGCATACCACTTGTGTCTTTTCCCAGCCTCAATCACTCGATGCCGCTATTCGGGGGTGGAATCCTACTGACAAAGATGACTCCGATCGCTGAAGATGTGATCGTCGCCTCGCGAATTAACGAGCTGAGATACCTGTTGCGTATGGGGCCATGTCTTTGAGCATCGTCGTCACATTGCGCAGCGATCTCTCATCATCTCGAATAAAGAGATATAAGACGAAATTTCTTCCAAGATAAAATCGCTCAGCACAACAACCTCATCCTCACAACGATACTCACTTTTTACCATCATCTACCATCAAACACCATCTACCACAAATCTCCAATAATGCGTACTTCTAATTTCTCTGCCATCCTCGCCATGGCGACCTCCGCCCTCGCCACAATCTCCCTTTCCTCCTGTCCAACAGAATCCCTCATGGTCCGCTTACCCCCCTATCTGGACCCGACCATGAATGCCTCTGGCAACGAAACATCAGGCTGCTCCTCTCCTTCCTCCAATTTCACCGCTCCGCCGCCCGGCTGGTTCGCCGGGTCTTGGGCGATCCGAAACACCTCCGGCACATCGTACCTTTCCTACGGCAACCTGCAGTGGGACCTCACCCCGACAATAAGCATCACTTGCGAAGCCAACACCACTTCCTCCTGTCCTACAGGCTCCCTCGCGGGCGTAATCAATGAAATTACCACTTGGGTTCCGGCGGATAACAAGACGGCTCTCAACGGCGCCATTGGAGGCGGCGGTCGCACAGTCGCCTCGATACGCGCATACAACACTCCGCGCCGCCTCAACTTCCCAGAGCTCAATTCGGACTGGGACGCCGTCTACGATAACACCATTATTGAGGGACCAGGGAAAGGGTACATGCAGAGTTGGTCGGTGCTGCACTGGAGCCTAGACGGGCACGCCATGCCGTGGATGATTGTTCATGAGACTCCCGCGCTGTATCCAGGCGGCACGTGGGGTGTCCCGGCTGTGCATATCATCAGTCAGAACCGGGACGGAGTTGATGAGGGGACTCTAGGACCGGTTTTGGACGCGCTTATGGAATTGGGAAACGAGGAGGTTACGGAGCAGATTGAGAAATTGGGCATGACAAAGTTTGATGACAAGTTGCTTGGGGGGCCAGCGATTTGTGGGGAGACGTGTCAGAAAAACGAGGCCGTCTAGGCACAAGTAAAAGCTAGCAGGATATAGGGATGGAGAGTGATTGAATCAAAACGAGGCTGAGCAAGAATTTGCTGCGCGGTTGTGGGCACCATGCGGAAGCAATGGCCGAGGAGAGTGCGAGGGAAAATAAAGGTCATACGATTTGAGATAATTTATTCTTATTTGGTTAAGAAAAATAGTGCATTCTTCTATATTTTGTATTAAATTGTGATTTATGTTACATTAACCTATGTTTTTGGCTTTTTGATGTTGCACGGTATGGGGTAGAGTTGGTTGTGTACACAGAGATGCATGCTGTGTTCAAGTCCTCCCTATGCGATGGGGCCATTTATATGTACTCTGGCCGTCAGCTGGGAGGGCCTTTGCATCACTGCTATATGATACAGAAAGAAGTGTGCTTCAATCAGCCCATCGTCTCCAAGGACGGCTTACACCGGATTTATTCCCACTGTAGTACTGAACCACTATCTGCAGACATGAATACAAGCACGTCGTGTAAGTGTTCCATTTCGGTATCTCCAATCATCTTTGGAGAACAAGTCAACGGTGCACGTCTGTTGTCTGCACAACAGTACTCCAAAATGAAGAAGCATTGGGCCTGCATATACGCTAATGCGCCAGTGCTGCTCATTGTAAATAGTTGGGCGAACCGAACTGATTCAGCCGCAAGTAGCCATTTTCAATTTGCTTTGAACAAGAATAAAGTTCTCGGTTGACCCCAGACGCCTAAACTATGTTGCCGGTGAGAAAAAAGCTGACCAATTGATCCACGGATCACTCAAAATTCTGGTAATCCCCGCGGCTACTCCCGTGCGCCACTGACGGGATACAAGTGTGATGGTGACTAGGCTAGAGATGCAGCTCTATTTCCGCTCACCAGCCGCCGGTTGCACATGGCAAACGATGGTTTGTCCAACACTGGCACTGCTAGATTGCATTAGATTGGCTAGCCAAGATTATCCAAGAGGTCGAGTAACTATGCCGTCTCCCGAAGTGGCCGTTTACATTGGTGGTGGAAGCATGTCTCAGATCCTAGTTCAACACCATGGCGATACTAAATGTCAAGGGAGACTTTGTTCGTTATACTCGACCAAGTGCGGAGGCTATGAAATGTCACCAGAGCTCCCCCATTGGCTATAGAGCGAGGTCTTCTCAGATTCAGCTGAAACCTTCCCCACGATCTTCACGACACAGCATCATGACACGGCATTCGGCCCACTGAGGATCGCATCGTACAGTGATTATTGGAGACAACTTCTGCGTCTATATCCTCTGCCACCCTATCATTTCATCTCGTGAAAGCCACCGGTGAACATTTTGTGTTTCGATATGCACTCCACTTCAGCTTGATTTGGTACATGAATACATCGCACCCGAGATGGCAACTTTCGGTGGGGATCTGGCCAGAGTATAAACAGCAGCAATGTGTCGAGGAAATCACCAACAATTTCCCACGGTATTCAAACGCCATGTTTGCTGGAGAAACAACTTGTGGCTCTTCAGAAAGTTACCACTGAGAACATTGATCCATTCGTCACAATGGCCGTAGAATCGTCAGCCATCTTCCCTCATGACTTGGTCTCCAAGCTCAAATCAGAGCTGCCAGAGATCAAATCCCACGAAGCGCCGGATCTGGAGGATGACCATTCAGACACCGTCTACGCTGCTAGCCCAGAGCATGGCACAGCCTGGTCCTCATATCGGACACCGGATGTCTCCCACCAGATCATCAGTTCCTACTTCATTGGTCCTCAAGCAGAGAACCTCCGCTACTTTGAGAACAATATTCATACCATCCTTGAGGAGCTCCGCTTGGCTCGAACCAAGTACTACCCTGAAGATGGCGTAAGTTGGCACAATGGCTCTGACCGAAATCGCGACTAACCATTACTCAAGAAATTCATCACCGAAAGCGTGCAAAAGAGCCCAGCCTTTAAGAAGTCGATGAAAAAGTTGAGCAATGCTGTTCAGAAAGCAGCAAACCTACTGGGACGGACCTCGATTCCATTCTGGTCTCCGCGATATGAAGCGCACATGTAAGTGATTCAATCTCAATGACACTAGTCGGTTGCTGAGTCAAATGTACAGGTGCACAGACATGAGCATGGCGTCCCTTCTTGGCTACTTCATGACCATGATCTACAACCCCAATAATGTAGCTCTCGAGGCGAGCCCCTTGTCCACTGTGGCAGAGATTGAAGTAGGTGAGCAGCTCTGCGAGCTTTTCGGATACAACATCGACGAGGACAATCATGATTCTCCGCAGGGCTGGGGACATGTCACCTGCGGAGGAACAGTTGCAAATCTTGAATCGATCTGGTATGTGTGAATTCGCACTCCCATCCAACAGGCGCTAACAATTCTTTGCAGGGTTGGTAGGTTCTGAATCACCCAGAAAGATGCCTTTTTGACTAGTAAAGCGATACTGACATGTAATCGAGCCCGTAACCTCAAGTTTTACCCTCTCTCCATCCGCGAAGCCATGCTAGACGATGGACCTTTGAGCTTTCTTAACTCAAAGTTCTCAATCGAGACTTGTGCCGGAGAAGAAAAGCTGTTCTCTGAGCTTTCTGATTGGGAGCTGTTGAACCTCAAGCCCAACGACGTTCTTGACATACCTGACCGACTGTATCAGGAATACGGTACCCTTACCCTCTCTGTCGTCGGATGTAGCCTCACATGTTAACGACTCTCAGGCATATCCAACAAGTTCTTGTCGGACGTGATGAACAAGTTCACCATCCAGTCTACTGGCAAAGATGGCCTCGAATACAAGTACACAAAAGACAAGCCTGCTCAGTACATGTTGGCCACAACAAGACATTACAGTTGGCCCAAAGGCGCAGGTACTGTTCATAATGGAATGATATAGATGTCACGGGAACTAATCCAGAAATAGCTGTTGCCGGAATCGGCTCGAATAATGTCATTGGTATTCCAGTTGACAATGCCGCTCGAGTGGATCTTGACGAGCTGGAGAAGAAGCTTGAAGAGAGCCTGGAGAATGAGCGACCTGTATATGCAGTCGTCGCAATCATTGGCTCGACCGAGGGTAGGACACTACCCTACATGACTTTTTAGTTGATCCTTTGCTAATAAGTCGGTGCCGTGCAGAGGGGGCTGTCGACCCGTTGAGCTCCATCTTGGCTCTGAGGAAGCAATACCAGGCCAAAGGACTGTCATTCTTGGTCCACGCCGACGCTGCCTGGGGCGGCTACTTTTGCAGCATGTTGCCCAAGTCTTACCGACCTGGAGACATAACCAATTTGCCAACAGAAATGGGCGACGGTGATGGTTTTGTCCCCGATGCCAGCCTGAGGGCAGAGACCCAGGAAGATCTCTATGCCATGCGCTTTGCCGACTCCATCACGGTCGACCCCCACAAGGCAGGTTATATTCCATATCCCGCTGGAGGTCTGTGCTATCGAGATGGGCGAATGAGGTACCTTGTTACTTGGACAAGTCCATATTTATCTCGAGGGTCTGTCACGAGCATTGGCATCTATGGAGTTGAGGGCAGGTAAGTCTTCTTTTGAAGCATTGTGGAGAGAGGTTTGTTTTGACATTGTACCAAATAGCAAGCCCGGTGCTGCAGCTGTGTCTACATGGCTATCCAATAAGACCATTGGATTGAATCAACAGGTTTGTTCGCAGCAATCATTGATATGTCCCATTTAAAATACTAAATTTCAATTAGGGATACGGCGCTCTGCTTTCCGAGGTGACTTGGACATGTACACGTGTAAGTTGTCCCCCTCCCCCTCAACACTATCATCACAACCCAAGGTGCTAATTGAGCACGCCAAATAGCTTTCTGCAGAATGGGCTGCCATGACAAGTTCCACGTCCCCCTTTGTCTGCGTTCCATTCAATGAGCTCCCGTCTGAGCGCGCTGCGAATTCCAGCCCGGAAAAGGTCGAGGCGGAAAAGACGCGGATCCGAGAAGAAATCCTCAAGAAGAGCAATGCCGACATTGTCAAGGACGACCAGTCGCGTCCGCGCGACCAAAAGGCCATGAAGCTCATGCGCGACTTGGGATCCGATCTCAACATTAATGCTTTTGCCATCAATTTCCGCTACTCGGACGGCCGCCTCAATGAGGACGTGGAAGAGGCCAATTACCTCATGAAGAGAGTCATTGAGGCCCTTTCCGTCGACAGTCCTGATGACGATCCCTCCAAGATTCCGCTTTACTTGACATCCACCGAGTTCTCCGACGAGCTTTATGGCAACTGCAAGAAACACTTCATGAAGAGACTCGGACTCGAGGACAGCACACAGGACCTCATGGTTCTTCGAAATGTCATCATGTCGCCATTCCCAACTGATGGTAACTTTATCAATCGTCTGGCAGAGATTTTCTACAAGACAGTCAAGGACGAGACCGAGGTATGCTTCCCGAGCTGTTACTAGAAGGAAAGATTCTAAAATGTATACTCTAGATTGTTCGCAAGCGCAATGAGATTGGAGAGGATCTCCACAGCTTCCTCATCCAAGGCGCCGAAAAGATCTTCCTCATCCATTTGCCCATGTTCCACGTGGCAAACCACCGCCAGCAGCTCATTGTCTCTGTAGACTTTGATCAAAAGTCGCGACAGAAATACATTGACATGAAAAGGGCCAATCCCAACGAGCCAATGATTCTCGTCACCCAGAACAAGACCCTGCTTCCAGAAATCATCAAGAACAATGGCACCTTTGCTGCTCAGATCAAGACCGAACATTCGTAAGTTGTTGTCGCATTCTTTGTGAAATGGATGCTTCTGACTTGCTTTTAGTGGTGTAATTTTGAAGAATGTCAAGGTCAAGGTAACCTCCACAGTCGTCAGCCGACCTCTGAACTCGAAGTGGCGTCTGCCAAACTATCCACAGAAGTTTATGCCCTTTTACCTTTACGGTAGTGGTAAGTCTTTCTAGTTATGTAACCACGGAAAGATACGGCATTCTCACTGACTCCATCCCCATAGCCAACGAGGCCAATATCGATCACGTTATTGTCCGTGCCCCCAACACCCAGCTGTCGGCCGGGCGCTGCACCGTCAACCTAGAAGGAGGATCCGGCGGCGACGACATTTGGTCCAAGCCCCTCATCTTGACCCTCGAGGATGTCTACGAGGAGACGATGCAGCCCTTCCCACCCAACAGCGAAATCGTCAGCAAGAATGGCGCCATTGTCGCCGAGCCCCGCACCAAGCCGTCCACGGCAATGAACGGCTCAGCTCACGGACCCGGCAGGACCTCACCGGCATCCGTCATCACGTCCGAGACGCGCAGCGGCAAGATGCGTGGCTCGGGATTCTTCTTCCGCCCAGGCGCCAAGTTCAACATCAAGGTGTACGAGGATGGCGACCGGGATGACGACGACGTTGGCTTTGCAAGCTTCAGACTGGGCAAGGAGCTGGCCAAGGGAACTATTGAGCTTGGCGACAGCGTCTATGTCGACAGCGAGGCCATGAACTTTGATCCATTCCAAAAGGTTGACAAGGTGGCTGACTGGAGACACGAGTTTAGTCAGATTGGCAAGGAGCTCGAGTAGGAAATCTTGAGAGTCTCATACTTGGAAATATGTCAGATTGAAAGCAAGCAGCTTGGTTTCCCCTCCCTTCAGATTAACACAATGAATCATGACAAAGATAACAGCAAGGTTCGACGCAATAACAGTGCAGGACAAGCGGAAAATGACAACAGAACCATTAATTATGAACCCATTGGATAGCCAACTCTCACCAGGAGCATTTTCGCCATTGGCTAACTTGTATGACTGAAATCGTCCGATGTCGACAGAGCTATTGCCATTTATAATGCATATTGCTACTTTTTAATTTCGCCTAATCACCAAGTTGAAGAAACAGCATAAAATCTCAATCACCAAGAACGCAGATCGAGATGGGACCGCTTTATCACGGCGACTTCACCTTACCTGCCAAACATGAAGAGATTATTGTGATTGTGAAAAGTTCAAGGACACGTCAAATGAAAGATGGAGATTGGCCAAAGGTTTCTGTGCAACTTTGTTCACTTTCTTCCCTTGGTGGCACGACTTCCCGGATGCATATTATCGTCCCATGTCAGAATTGAAATTAATGGAAATAATGCACATAAGACGAACCTTTTCACTTTACAATCACGCATATAAAGGAGAAAAGGGAAAGAAAAAGAAGAAAGAAAAAACAGAGAAAGGTATCCCAGACAGAAACAATCAATTAATCTAAAAATTCTCTCTCTTCTTTCTCTCTCATTCTCTACAAAAACTCGTTGAACTGGACCTCGCCTTCGCGACGGTCCAGCTCATCGAGCTCCTCCTGCAGAGCCCGGCGGTACTCCTGACGCCAGTCCCACGGGAACTGCATTATGTGGTCCAAATAAGGACCACCCAGCTCGACCGTGTCGGGCCAACGGGGAGGGGGAGGAAAGCCGACGGGGCTCGGGGCAAGGGCAGGGGCGGGGGCAGGGGCAGGAGCCGGGCCGGACGAGAAAGCCGCGAAAGGGTTGGCGGCGACGGCGGCGGCGGGAACGTCGTCGTAGTACTCTGGTGTTGTGATGCTTGATTAGTCGCCACACTCACTTCCGAAAAGAAAACCAAGACAGGAAAGAGGACTTACCTTCGTCGACTTCCATGTCGGCCATGGCCACCTCCTGGTCGGCGGAAGGAGCAGCAGTAGCAGCAGCGGCAGCAGGAGCGCCGGAAGCAGCAGCAGAAGCGGCGGCGGCGGAAGCAGCAGCAGCAGCACGGGCACGACCACCAGAACCTCCAGCGGTAGCAACAGCGTCAGCGGCGGCGGAAGCAGCCTCGGCGGCCGCAAGGGGAGGGACGAGAGGGAAACTGCCGGCTATCGTGATATCAGTGGAACGCAAAACCGAAGCTTCCGTTACGTGGTAAACTTACGAGGAGGAGGAGGGGCGTTGTACCTGGGCTGAATCCAGATCGGGCCGACCATGTAGCCAAGGGCAGCAGCACGAACCAGCAGCTTGTGATGATCAGGATCCTTGGGATGATCACGATCCTCCTTGTCGCGAAAGGTCATGCCAGCAGTGGCATGGTAGATTTCGTTGGCCATCTTGGACCACTTGGAACTAAAGCAGAGAAGAGGAAACCACGAGTCAGTTCAGGGCACCAGAATAGCGGTTGGTTGGAAAATAGTGAACAAGATCACGTACTGGTAAGCAGCGGACTTGCGTGGAGGTGCCGGCATTGCGGCAATCACGATCTTCCAGTCTTTGACCTTTCCACACGGGTTCCCTTGTTTCTGGTTGGCATCCTGCTGGTTGTTCTGAGACGGCCAAGCGCCTGACAGATTGCCATGTCGGGCAACCTGGATAAAGAGCTGGATGGTCTCTTCGGGTGTCCAATGTGTGTTTGTCATTGTGCTTGATGATTTTGTGGTGTTTACGGTATGTGTTTGATGTTTGAGGAATGGGTTGTAAAATATCGAAGGCCTGGAGAAGAAGAAGAAGAGAAAAAGGCGGTTGGAAAAGTCGTGACAGCTTCAAACTCAAATAGTAGCTAAACAGCTGCCCACCGTTTGCAGGCGCGTGTTCTGCGCGGCCGTTTTCTCTACCGCCTTCAACAGCCCACCTTGCGCGCGGCGGAAATCAACTAGTTGCTTTGAATTCTGCCGGTTCTATCGATTCAAGTACTCGTTCGTACTTTCGATCAAGGCTGGATGAGTTTTCGAGAAAGCAGGACTTGGTCTTGGTACAGAGCAGCAGGTAGGCTTGAAGTATTTGTCGTGTTTGCTTATCCAGAGGGAAGAATGGATCTGCTCCTCCTAGACTCTACAGAAGTCTGCTGTATCGTCTGGTGATATTCTGCAAAGTCAATTCGTCTTCTGGTGATAGTTCTGGCAAAGGACTTGGCAGAGTCATCAATTACCAGGGACAGGTACAAATGTAGAACCACAGGCAGGTACAGATTCAGACCCACAGGCGGGTCCAAGTAAGAAGCTACAGGCGGAGACGAATAATAATTATCTGGAGACGAGGGGTACAAACAACAACTTGTGGCCGACGATACTAGGATGATCAGGACGGGGGTAGGAACCCCTCGTTGAGCGCTGCCTGGTGCTATTGTCGGCTCAACAGGACAAATTTGCGGAATCAGCGAGACTCCGTCGTCGAGGACCAATCATGCAAAATGAATGTTTATCAATGATCAAAGATCTCAAAGACTGGATTGCCTGGGGCCAGAAATGCTTCCAGGCTTGGCATTATAGTCGGCGACATGAGAACAAGCAACTATTCACAGTACCATTTGTTGTAGATTCAAAGATGGGACATCAAGTTCAGTTTCCTTCATCAAAAATAGCATCTGCTTCACACTGGTAGACTTGTCATTATCAATATTGAGAGGACATAATATACTTGGTTCATAGTCCGTAGAGTTGAAGTCTATACGTGCGCACGGACCTCTATGATCAATGATCGGCGTATACTATATCTACACGATCCATGCGCACTAGTCCAGTCATACGGCCAAATCACCAGATTATCAGGATAGTCAATCAAGACTGGGCGAGCTTCTTTTGCAACAGAATCTTTTCAAACCACTTTTCTTAATTTTTGCAGCCTTAATATGGCATATTTAGACGAAACGGCATTTCCAAGAGCAGCGTGGCTGCTTGACGGTCACAATTTATAAGTGGGCAGTGTATCAGTTATTGATTTGCTTGTAATCTGTACTACGTTTCCACAACTCTTGACGTAATCATTTTGTTATATTGGAAGCACTCGAGGTAATTCTGTTGTATTGCCAGTGGTGGCTCGTGTACTAATTCCCCTGTTAACTTTGGGGCGATACTTGCTGAGGGCGAGACAGAGTGGTCCTCCAGAGTACTCCAATGAAAAGAACTGCAGTACTGAGTGTCAAGATGCTTGCACAGTAGGTCAGCGCGGGAGATCAATGGTGAGGAGCTTGAGAAAGGTTTGTACTTACGTCTTTCGTCTATTACCAAACAAGACATTTGAGAATAACTGGCTTGTCAAGTCAAGGAACGAGGGTAGCCAATGCTGCTGCTGGCTGTCTTTGGATTCAGAGTGCGCCGATGGTTCAACAGACGATTCCGTGAAAGTCTTGCTATCGATTGTGGATTCTTGTCCGGGGCTCGATATCGTCTTGCTGTTGGCAGTGTTTAGTGAGATGCCCTCATCCTCATGACCTGAAGGCGTTTCGAGTCTCACGATTGGGGTCGAGGGCTCAACTTGACGAGCTGCCGAGGCGGCAGACTTCTTAGATCCACCAAAGTCGACAGAGTCAAACGTGGCTTTGAGAGATCGATCGTCGGGAACCTGCAAGTTATGTGTCATTCCGTCTTCGGATTCCTCCTCGGCATTCTCATCTATCGACGCTAGAGATATATGGGACCGCTCCGAGGCAAACGACCCAAGAGCGGCCCGGGGAGCATTCGTCCGCCTCTTTGGAGAATCGGGCTCGTGTATCGCCGGAGGGAACGTGGAGCCCATTGGTGAAACAAGGGGAGAAGGCGCGATGCCGCCTGGAAGAGAGCGATCTGGTTCGGTGGCCGTCTCGATGCGCTGCAATTCGGCGATGATGGATCGACGGTTCTCGTGGGGAAAATGCTCGAGTGTGGGGTCGTTGAAGTCAATCTCGTCTTCATTTTTGTCACCGGCATACGCAGGCTTGAACGCATTGGGGAAGCGGAATGTTGGTTCGTTTGGGGTTGTGACTCCGTCGTCCGACGATGCGGTATACTCGGAATCGTCATGATAGCTGAAACTCTCGTGGGAGAACATGGGACCGGCGTCCTCTGACTCCTCTTCCTCTTCTTCAAAATCTCCAACATCGACACTGAGCGCACTCATGCGCAACACATTGTTCCAGTTGCCGTGTGCATCCGGAGCTGTCACCATGTCAGAATGGGGTTTTCGTTTCTCGGGCAAGAAGAGGATGACAAACTCTTGGCAATATTATCGTCACATACCCACCAGTCACCAGTTCCTAGGCGGAACTTGTACTGTATGGCGGCCCCGGACTTGACGGATACGGTCTTCTCAAATGTATGATTTCCATGCTCGTCGACGGAAGAGTCCATTTCTTGAGGCTGCCATGGTGGATTTGAGAATGTGCCAGCTACAAACACTGGCGGATTCGTACCAGGTTTCTGGTAAGTAAGAACAACTTGTCTCTGAGCCATGATGCAAATTGCAACAAATCAAAGTGGTCAAAACAGTTGAGGAGGCGGAGGGCAAATTGAAGGGCGTCGTCACCACAAGATAATCGTATGATTTGGGGGGGAGTGGGGAACGCGGTGCTGTGTGCCGATGCAGCTTGGAAGAATAATGTATTGGTCAAGAATCGATTGCAGTCTCGGTGCAAAGGATGACCTAGGGAAATACTTTTGTTCTTGGTTCGTGTTATTCCGAAGAAGTCGAGGTGTGACAAGTGTCTGCTAGTCAAGAACCCGCAAAGTGCTATATTGCGAAGCGATCACCCAAGGCAGATTTAGATATGCTAGTACCCGTGTCTCAGGCATCTGTTGTGCAATGTACACTAGCTTTGCTGACGGTGGTCTATCGTACAATGATTGGTCCGGAAGGGTCGCAGATAAGGAGGTATAGAGAAACGACAGTCGGTAGTGTCGGCAAAGGATATCTGCTGCGTCGAGAATGTTGTGTGCTATATATGTATGCGAGGGGAGCAGTCGGGAAATGGTGAGGTTGCAGGTCGGGTCGATTCGCAGGGGATGTGTCGGCGAATTACGCTGATATTGAAATTCTCGGCATATTTCGCGCAATCACAGCAAAGATAAAGAAAAGGCACGGAAAGAGGGCCAAGGGCTTATAAAGGCAATGACGATGATGTGGGAGGCTTAGCCTGGATACCAAGACTGGAAGGTTGGCGCAGTCTTTCCGCAAGTCTCAGTTACGTCCTGCACCAAACGCAGTGCAACATTTAGAGTTGAGGCCGTCGAATTGAAGTGTAGGGCAACCAACGTCAGTCGAGCAGAGCAAGGACAGTCCTGGCTTTGGGTCCAAGAAATCACCCTTCTCGATGATTTGCCTAGAACAAAGAAGTACAAAGGTCAAAACACGCGTGCGGACAGAAAAGCTGGTACTGCTGGATTTTATCTATCCGCAACGTATGGACTCGTCGGGAAGAAGCATCTACCGAGTAGTGCTTGGTCGCGATACACGAAGAAACCGGGTCTGCCGGCTCGACTCCATATGGGGCACCGCAACGTCGACTAACCTAACCTACATATGTTCCACTGACACGACAGCTCTCAGCTTCTCCATAGAATGACCTGGCATATGTGCGAACTGGGGAAATCTTGATTCCCCCCTCCGCACTATTCAACGCCATATGATGCAGCGCGAGACACCCCGGCAAACACAAGTCGAACGCTGTTCAAGGATGGCATGGGAAAGAAGCTCCGAGCTATGTTGTTGGAGTAGGGCCCAGATTGACTAGAGCCGGGGGATCTCGAGGCTTGCAAAACCTCTTCTTGCCCAGGGCAGGGCGACGAGAACCTAGCGAGAATTGTATCAAACATGTTCGAACAACAAGGATTACAAAGGTGATAGGGCAGTACGAGACATGATTGAAATGCTAATCATTCATATTTCGATTTCATTATGGACAGCATCGCGAGGATGACAGCAAAGAGACAAGAAACTTGGAGACTACAATTAGAGACGGGAGAAGAGGAACCTCCAGATGTCCCCTCGCCTTCTAAGTTTGAGTCTCCCCGCAATCGACGCTTCGGGCCCTGTCCCGTTCCCCGCCTACCCTCTACGCTACCTAGCTCAAGTCTTTCTGCAATGTACGGTAGTTTCACATGCCAACGTTGTCACAAAGTCAATTCGCATCAACGATCGATATTTTGTGTGCCTCCAAGGCCAATTAGCATATAATTATCTAATACGCCTAATGTAATCATCTTTCTTCTCAGAAATGCTGGTAGTTGCACCATATGTCCGGCCCAGAGCTTTGCTTCTCCTCGTCAAGTTCTCCTCCTGGGTAGGGTATGTATGTACAGTCTGAGCTAGTGTCGTGTAGGTCCCTAATAGAGGCATTAGCTCTTATCGGTCGTTACTATGGGGCTTATCGGAGGCGGCACTGCTGCCACTGGTAAACATTCGACAGACTTTTGACGCTGGCGCTTAGTTACATCATTCTCTCGCCAGACACTCTCACCACTTGCAATCCACGACGGGATCGCGTATGCACATCAAAGATTACACCACCAGCCAAGGACGATCGGCTCATTAGCGACATATCACATTGCACAAATTCTTTTGGCAGCACACTCCTATCGCAGCGCAATGTCGCTACCGCCCGAGCTCATCCGCGTCAAGCGCAAAGCCTCGGAGATTGAGCCCGTCTCCTACCTTCGTCAGTCGCATTCAGAAAGCAATCAAACAAAGGGGCAAGATCACCATGACTAACTACCGTCGCGGGATACAGGCGTCCAGGAGCACAAGCGCCATGTAACCGATGCCTTTGTTTACCAGCGCCAGAAACAGGAGGCTGCTTTCGCCCACATTCCCGTCCCTAGCTCTCAGAGGCCAATCATTCATACTTCCGGCGCCAAACGTGGCAACGCCGCATTCCAGAGCACGAAAGACAACAATAACAACAATTCAACCTCCAGCGGAGATGAAGAGTCATCAAAAGCACCCGATGCGGCTGGCGGCGACCTAGAGTCTGCTGGACCTGGAGATGAGCCCCGGCGTTTCCACATGTCCAGAGCAGACATCATGCTTGCCTCTTCCAACTACCCGACTCAGCGCAAATATCGTGGCATCGCCAAGAAGCGCTCCGCGCCCGCCCTCTTTGTCGAGCGCAAGCACAAGAGATTGCCATCGACCAAGTTCCAGAGTATTGCCCATGGCCTCAATGTTGAGGACCCCAAGGAGGAAGCTCTGGGAGCGTCTCGGCACTCTACCTCGCAGACCCAATCGCCGTCGCGTTCAGACCAGATGGAAGTTGACAATGCCGCAACCAAGCTGCGCAAGAAACCCGGACTAGCCAGACAAGCTCAACAAGAGGGCACAGCTTCACCCAAGAAGGCCGAGTTGCCGACTAGTATGGTGGATCGTTGGAATGTCAATCTAGATCAGTTGACAGCCGACATGAATGCTTTTGCATTGGAGCAAATCGGTATTAATCTTCAGCGCCAAGAGGAGGAGGAGAGGAAGCAGCGCGAGAGGGATGCGGCCCAACGAGCTCGCATCGCTGCTGTCACGTCCTCGTCTACGACCTTTTCCTCGCCCAGTCCGTCGCGGTTCAAGCCCAAGGCGCCGGCAAAGCGATACGCCGAGCGACACCCAGAGAATGTTCCAAAGTCGGTCGACGATGATGCAACGAGCCCAGACGGCGCTGCTAGTGGCACAGACGATGAGGACTACATCATTGAAACCTACGTACGTGTACCAGCCAGCACGATAAGGAAGCAACACGTTGCTTCCAAAGATGTGGGCTTGTTGGTATTTGACGAAGAGCCAGATATGGAGTACTTTTACGGAGGGAATAGTGACAGCGAGGACGAGTATGCCGAGGATGAGGACGATGAAAATGGTAAGCCAGTCGACTCTGGGGACATGCCCCAAGCAGCCAGATGCTGACAGTCACAGCCGAGAACCATTATACTGCCGATTATCCCGATGATGAGGTGGCATCAGACGATGAATTCGGCCAAAATGCTTATGCCTACCGAAACGGAAACGCCTCAGATCTGGAGGAGTATGATGTGAATGGCTACCAAGAAATCAACCCGGATGATGATTCGGACTCTAAGGACGGTTTCAAGTCTTTCATCGGTCGTGATGGTACCATAAGAAAACATCTATAAGGCGCCCCAATAGCAGTTTGATCAGACACATTGACATGGATGGCCAGATTTCTCCATACCTGCTCACCCATACGAGTAGGGCACATTATATCAGGTGAACAGCCATCCCCTATCACTCAGATGAGTTTTCAATGAATGAAACACACGAATGCTCGAACCATGACCGGGAATTTTCCAAAGCTTATCAGAGGTCCATTCAACCATGAGATCAGAACAGGAAATAAAAAGCAGGTTCCCAAGAGACGAGCTTCTCGTTACACCCTGGAATCAGAGCGGCCATAGAATCTCCACGGCGTGCGCACGAAACTTCCGTAAAAGACGTACGTCGGTACCAGCAAACGGGGATCTCGCAAAACATAATGCTTTGGAGCTTTCTTTTTCTTTCTATTCCTTTTTTTTTTTTTAGGAGAAGGGGAGGGGTGATTTTCTTCAGCGGTTTTTTTGGGCGCGATGGATTCACATCCCTGCCTTTTTTCTTAGTGGCAGATTTCGTTGGCAAAACCCCCGGGCCCCATAATCTACGTATTGGGGATCCATATACTTAGTGTCACTGTGTAACAAGACTGCTGACCATGGGGAGGGGGCAAAGGTAGGGGAGGGGGTGTATCCGCAGCAAGAGAACAAAAGTGAGGGAGAGAGAAGAGACGGTTCATTTTCCCCCAAAAATTGCGGTGATATTACTGGTGAAGAAGGAGACACACACCTTTTTCCCTTTGGAGAACAAGGAGGATCATGTCATGACACGTGGGTTCAGAGACCCTTGAGGATCTGGATCCTCTGGAGAGTGAGGGTGAGCTAGGGAGGTGGAAAAGCAAGATGAAGGAAAGAGAGAGACTTGCATATGGAGATACTGCAGTCATACTTTGTACATCACTACCACTTCATACATAGTACTAGCACGGGAGAGGAAGAGGATCAAGGGAGATAAAGTGTGGGGATGGTGTTTATTTCTCTCCGAGCAAGAAAGCAATATCCAGAGAGAATTAACAAGGTACCCAACTATCCCGTAGTACATACATGGTAGATTTGGTTACGATTTGTGTAATTTGTAATCCGGTGTCCATCTAATTTTTCAATTCTTCAACTGCGGGAAGCGGTCCGGTTTTGCAGGGCTAGTGCGAGGGAGAGTAGAGCCACATTTTTTTTTTCTTCTCTCCCTGCTGCCTGTTCTTTATCAGATCATTCAAAGGATCCATGTCAAAGCTAGTCGCGTCCGTGGACATCTCAAAAGATAAGTGAACAGCGCCAAGATGAGCTGTAAAAGCGCCTCTTCTATCTTTTTTGGCTACAGAAAGTCACATAAACTCTGCCATGTAATTTTTTATGGGGTCACTTTTTTTTTTTCTCTCTTTCCACTATTCTCATTTTTGGCATTGCTTGCATTAGGGTCGGTTGGAAAAGGGCTAATTAGTCTTGTCGCAGTATCAAGTTATGCGTTATGTTTTTTTGGAGTTATTTTTGGAAAGGAGATTTCTTATCCACTTGGGAATACTCGTCGTGTGGGGAGGGGAGGGTAGCAGTGTTGCCCTTATTGTATTCCACCACATCATAATGCGTTTTTCCTCCTCTCTCTCGAGTCATTATGGTCAGGCTTTTTCGCGCGCGCGCGCGCGCAAGGTTGAATGCCAACAAGGCTTGGGCAAAAAGACGAAATTACCCAAGCCAAGCCTTGTGTTCCAGTCAATGGATCGGGGATAAATGTCATGATGATTTGGGGGAAGAAAAGATTGACGAGGCTGCGCTGCAAGTTCCCAAATTTGAATCCTGCATAGTTAGTCATTTCCCTACTTTATTATGACAAGCAATGCAGAATAACGGCCATGTGTTGTTCATGATGTTGTGCATGACGTTGACGTTTTGACGACTGGCGGGAAGGGCATCTCCCATGGCATGGAGACCGATGGGACAACATCTGGCCAATAGGAATCAAGGCGGTCGTTTGCTCCCCCTCTATCGTATTTTTGTGAGTAGTATGCATGCAGAAATCGTTATGTGGCACGGTTGAATCCTTTTTGGCCTTGGTCGTGTAACAGGACTCAGATCATGACAGCAAAGACAGAAAACGGGTGGTGTACAAACAACGTCTTGCACATGATAGTGTGTATCTCGCTTGTTTCAGCCTCCTCAAAATTTCTAGAATTATGTCTTGTCATGCTAGATGGCGTCAAGGTACGCGCGATCCTGATTTGTTAGCAACACTCAATTCGGCATAAGAGAGAGAACACGATAGTGTGCTCGTCAAAGCGAATGGAAGCAGTTGAACAAGGTCAATAGTGTCGAGTCTAGCCAGTCAATTTCTTCTTGGATTCTCTCATGTGTTGTCTCCCTTACCTCTCTCGGGCTAAGCAACTTGAAAAAAAGTATAACCCGCTACCGCATCAAAGCTCGAGATTCGCGGCCCGGTCGAGCCTGACCTAGAATGTGGCCTTGACATTGCCCTCCTTGCATAAAAGCCAGGCAGAATATGCAGTCCCTCGGGGAAATCTGGTTCATCAACGTTGGTTCTTCAAGGACGGTGCTTTACCGAACTACACAGTACAGGCGCCTTTTCAAACCTATACGGCGCATAAGGCTCAACGAATCTAACTGTCTTGTGCTACCCTCGGGGGAGGGATGGTTCGCAAAGGCGAGGGCTACTTGACATGGATGCTTGCCCAGTAAAAGAAGCATGTTTACAAGGGAGGGTTCAACCTTCTGTGCATTAGCCGCGGACGGAACAGCCAAGATAAGTACACAAATTCGTGACAAGTCGTGGTACAAGATGGGTGGGGGTGGTATTCGTAATGTTTCCTACCCTTTGCCACTGTAGCCTGTTTTCTCGACGCAAGGGATATGGGAATCGCGAAAGACAGCAGGTCCAGTCATGTGTGTTACCGACTGGGCGGAAGCTTTACAAAGTGTCACAGCGTGCAGCAAGACGGAGCTATTGATTCGAAATCAAATGTGTTCCCTCCTTCCTGTCCGGATGATGATACTCCTCTTGGTCGCCCGGCGGGAGGGGGGACGGGGAAAAGGGTCTTTTTGTCTTGGTGGTCTGTTGCAACAACTGCTCACAAGCTAAAAGCGACGAGCCTGGTTTCCGTCCTGTTGGTCCCAGAGAGGATGCTCCGAAGACGGTGGTGACCATTGAATGATCAAGTGTTGTGTCGAAGAAGGTGGATTTTGGGTAATTGGTTTCTGATTCGCGCAATGGTGATGGTACTCATTGTTGCAAAGCAGTAAGTACCTTGGAATCGGAGTAACTGTAGGATCGCGAATTGATCATACTAGACCATTATTATTCCTCCTTTGCCTCTACGTCACAGCCAGAGGTTATTTGAGAATCGTTTTCCGGCTAGTTTTTAGATTTGAATAGATGAATGTAAGACTGCCGCCATGATTCTATCTCAAGGCAGAGGAATAAGTCGCTATCATGGAGAAGAGTCTGGCTAATACCTGCAATCATTCCATGTCAAAATATCGAGCCGCCGATTTGGAAGTATTTTCTTTCCAGAGGTCACCTGATTATTACAGAATGTACCAGGCTAGCCTTGGCAGATTTTATTTTTGTTGCCACCCCTGGATAACTTGTACCAGGGGATCAACAGTAACCAAGGGGGTGTGTCGTCGACGTTGTTGTTGTTGGTGGTGGTGGTGGTGGTGGTGGTGGTGACGTGGTTACCTAGAGGATGGTCATTATGAGCGGCAAAAGACATGCGCCACGACCCAACCCCCCGGAGAAAACGTGGTTCGTTATGAAATTGGGCCCAGAGAGTACTCATGCTCGGTGTGTGTGTGCGCTTGAGTCAATCGACTTGAAGCGGTTCCCCAGTGATGACGGATGTTGGAGTCTTGGATTATTCAAACCTGAAAATCAAGTGGCCGCGAAGGAAGCTGAGTGGATAGACAAGGCAATGACAAGAACTTGGCCACAGAGCTGGCTCCTACCTACCTACCTACCTAGCCTCTCCTGTTGGGATAAAAAGAGGTGTAAAGTTTTTGGTGGCTTGTTTGCTACATTTTACCCAGCTAGACCAGACCTGAACTGCTGGCTGGTTCCACCAATCTTGAAACTGATCCCTCATGTATCAATGTTGTTGGTTCTTGAATTCATCCCAAATTATTCCCAATAGAGCATTTCAAATCAGGTGACGGGACCCTGTCAGTTCATACATGATAAATTGAAATGCAATCATACATTGTTAATGTATATCATTTGAGGGCCCCCCCCCCTGTGAAGTCTATTTGTAGCCGATACGCCTGGCGTAGGCCGCCTAGTCGTTACCCGCCCCATGACCAGTTATGGCCGGGCCGAAATGGGTTCCAAGGGATATGGCAGTGCAGGTGGAATGTGCTCGTCTGTTCATGTTGGACTATTGGTCGTGGATTTCAACGCGCAGGTTTGGCCAAAGAGAGGGAGCGGATATTCTTTTTTTTTTTTATGATACCGAATCATTCTGTTCATTTCAGGGTATCGTTGGAAGTCGACTGCGACGACTACAAGCATTTAGATATTGACCTCCAAATCATAGGCCAGGTCTTTGATTAGATGCTAACATTTACACAATCCAGAAAGCAAACGGCATGCCTCATGTTGAGGTGCCACTTGTTCCTCTCCAGCCTAGATTTCCGCCATTCCCGTCTTCTAAATTCTCCTTCAAAATCTTCAAGTCACCAGGACTTGGATATTTTTTTTGTGGCACATTAAAAAATCAAATGCCGAAAAAGATCAGTAACGCTCACTGTAGAAAACCCAAAGCCGTTTGCATTCTCAGGCGCTTGGTGGAAGACCCGCCTTTGCTTCGAGGCAAGTTCTAGCCGTACATGATACGTGACCATCACAAATCATGAGGTCTTATTCATATACTGAAAAGTCATTTAACGCCAATAAAAGTGCTAAAGAAAAGAGAAAAGAAGCTATAATGCGCCAGAGTGATTTTGCAGGTTCCTGGGGTATTGTGAGTGAACAGGAAGAAAGAAGTCTGTATGATATAATGCGCCATATAAAGGTCATGTAGCCGGTCGATGCAAATGCGTGGTTTCCGTAGGCTCGAGAAACATTGAGCCAGAATGTTGTGTGCGCAACCCAGTGACTCAATCAGTGCCCGGCAAACTGCCTCGTCTGGTAGAAGATAGTTTTTCCCGCTTGTAGTCGAGACAGCAGGCACAGTTCCCATTCTGCGAGATTTCTTCAAAAGACCCCGTCTGCTCGGCTCTGCTGCGAGCTGCCAGCCTTTCTTCTCGTCGTCGGGCCGCTGGTAGATGGGTTAGCAAAGGTAAAATGATTTACACGGCTGGAAATAATGACTTACCGAGGCCAGCAATCCGTCGCTTGTCCTCCTCTCGTACCCAACCATAGCTGAGAGCGGCTTCCGGGAACAAATTGAGAAGACCAAAGGGCTTGTTTGTTCCCGACGATTCCATGAACAAGGTCTCTTCTGCCTTTTGTTCTCTGCACTTGAGCTCCTTGCTCGCCATGTGCCCATTGGGCATGTAGACAACAGAGTTGGTTTCGGGATCCAGTCTTGGAAGACCCTTGTTTTCTCGGTAGAAAATGCCTTGGACACCTTGAGTGCGGCGTCGCTTCATGTCGTCTGCTGGAAAGACATGCTGGAATGTGTATTCAATGTCGTCCCAAGGTCTACCGCAGTCAATCTTGAGGTATCGGATAAAGTGTTTTTCTTCTTGGGCATATCTCTGATTGTTATGAGGCACATCGTTTCGCCTCATTTTCCTGCCGGGGTCTTTGGGGCTGAATTGCTCCGAGGAGGCATAGGGACTGTACCGGTGAGCATATCGATTGTTGGACGCTGCTGTTCTTAAAATGTTTGGAGGTGAGACGCGCTGAGAGGTATGCTGAGCTGACGCCGAGTACCTCATCTCCTCTTGCAGGTAGTTCTCTCTTTCCCGCCGTTGCTCCATCAGGTGATGGCTGATGGGATCTACAGGCAAACGCTCCCGCGACGGGCGTGCATAGCTATAGTCAAGGCTGGCGGCAAGGTCGGGAGATGGGCTCAGCTTGAAAGTACTCAGGCTTTGGGAGATTCCCTGCATAGGATGTGACGCTGGTGGTGTCCTTGGCACCTGGAGTATGCTACTTAGGCCAGGCAGAGGCCCATCGCTGGACTCGCGCCTTGTAATGGGAGCCAGGGTCCATGGAGATTGTGTCTCTGGCTGTGGAAGCGGTCGCCTTGGAAGGATAGTATGCAACTGAGGGTCCGTGTTTTCCTGCTTCAGCGGCGATCTTGGTGGTGATGGTGGCAATGATGCTGTGCTAGACATGATGAGATTTGACTCTGCGAAAGAGTCGTGCGAGCAGCACGAATTGGTTGGCGATCGTAGAGAAGAGTCGTTAGTCAATGATGAAGACGGAGGGCTATGCTTCCATTCTAATCTTGAGGGGTAGTGTCGAGTTTGTTGTGATGTCCGAGAGTCTGACGAACGGATAGGGAGTCGCAAAGACGGTGTTTTAGCTTGTTGGGTGGAGACACTGGCCATACTCCTAGTATCTTGTCCATATGCCAACACCATAACGTCTTGGTGGTCGGGTCAAATAAGCTGGCGATTGAGAAGAATGAGGGGTGTCACAGAGATTTTGATGACAGGCAGAAAGGGGAGGTCTCTACCACGAAGATGCCAATCATGGGGTAAAGAAACCAAGCGACGGATTATTTATCAAGGATGGGTGTGCTCGTCAGTTAAACCAGTAAGTGATTGCTAGAGTCATAGGTAGAAGAAGTACAACAGGCCAGGTGGATGTCGAGTTGTTAGGCCTGCGGGGTGTGTCGATGCGCGTGTTTTAATATACACAACCAACAGAGACCCGGTTGAGAGGATCCAATCTACTGAAGAGGTATGATTCGGGATCGTCGCTCTCTGCAAAAGGCCCAGAATACACACGGACACCCGGCAAGAAGACCCCTGGAGGTAATGTACCCGGGGGGCGTTTTGCAGCGACGACGGCGACGAAGAAGAAGACGAAGAAGAAGAACAAATTTCCACCCTATGCGTTATGTGGCTGCATAAGTCGGGGGTACAAGAAGTACAAGCAGAAAGAGGTTTCCTTGTCTTGTCGATCCAGGGTCCTTTCTGGAGTAGGTGACGTCTCGAGGTAGGTGACACAAGACCTTTAGCCGTAGAGGAAATAGAAACAGGGCTGGAGCGATTGATTTTTTTTTTCTTTTGTCTTGCTTATTTTCTAGTAGTGTTGAGTCTACGATGAGTGATGCCTCAAACACACACAAGGTCAAGAAGAAGATGAGCAGAGCAAAGGGGAGGAATGTGTGTGTGTTCCCAGCCTCTAGTACTGTGTAGGCGGCGGCACAGCACGAGAGCGGATACATTAAGGTAGTGAGAGCGAAGAGAAAGCCTCGAGATTTGACAACAACCATGGGCAAATGGGCGGCAGTCAGCCCGGTCCTATCCACAGCATAGACTGCAAGGGGGGGAGGGGGGGTATACTTAGATGCATGTGGTAAAGGTAGGTCGATCCTGGACGTGTCCCATCAAGTCTGCCGTGCCGAATGCACTGTTCAAAAGTAGACGATGGAGAGAGAGAGAGCAGGCAATCAAGCAAGCAAGTAGCAAGCAAGAGGTATTGCCGAGTACGGTTGGCAATCACGATTATGGGTCTTGTGTAGGTAGGTAGTGACAGCAGAGCAGTTTGATGGTCCAGTAATAACTGCCTACGTAGACTAATAACCAAGACGTCCTAGCGTACGAGCGGAAGAGACAGCTAATAATGAGAACAATAACGCCCATAATAACATTATTCATACCCAAGGTACATAGTAACAACAAACATGGCCTGTTACGGCAGTTTTGTGGATTAATGGCCATTGTGCTGAAAAAGAAGCAAAGACGCCAGGGATGAGTTGTGTGTCTTAGTGCCGTGCTAGCTATAGCCACTTACTTGGCTGACTGAGGGACTTGCCTTGCCGATTGACTATAGCCGTCAGCCTAGTAAGAATACGGATAGAGAACAAACTTATCGATCTTGTTTTCTTCTTCTTCTTCTGTCATCTTTCCATTGCCAAAGTTCGAGGGGGGGGCGTAACAAGAAGGATCCAAGGACAGAGAGAAGGAGACGAGGATATGGGAGGAGGCTAGAGAGGCAAAGCGCCAGAGAAGCTAGGTAGAAGGGCTACGAAATGGAAGGATACCTTGTGAGCATCAGATCATGTCTTGTTAACACTGTGACAGGGCAGTTTGGGGCAGGGGGGGTGCTGCATTTTTGTTGTGTGATTGCAGAAACTCTTTGCAGAGAGAACCAGACTGTCGGGTCAGATCAGCCAATGGTATCATGGAACATTTGCGAGGTGCAGACATAACTCGTAGGGGAGGGGACGGTAAACCGGAGAGAGGGGCCCCCAGGGAGCGCCTAGGGAGATAAAATGGATCCTTCTCTTTGTCTGGTCGACATGTTACAACATGTACGTACATGGGAGGGGAGGGGGGAGACCATTTACCTTGGGAGGAGATAGTACATAGGTAGCACGGCGATGGGGTTGGTAGTCGACAAAGGAGGGGACCCCCCGGGCGACCAAAGCATCGACGTTCAAAAAGGGCCACTGTATCCGTTTTCCGTGGACCGTCCGTAGCCCGGAGTCGCATCCGCCAGCTTCCAGGTTCCAGCTTGACCTTGGCTGGACTTGACGGAGAGGGTATTCTGGGCATGTCCGACGGGGACGTGTGGATCTTTTTTTCGTCTCTTCATGACTTGGGGGAGCCCTCGAAGAACCTCCGAATGCTGGTGTTGACTGGGTTGTCTGGCGGTATTGCTAATGTTGGACTTGTCACGGCGGGGCAAATTGTAATGTCGAGACGGAAAACAAGGGGACCCAGAATAAAAAAAATGTCAGAACAAGGTTTGATTTGTTCTCTGCATCTATGGGCAAGGCGCTTGATCATTTCAGTGGATAGATTATCTACTGTGGATTGCTGCATCTCTCTCTTTCTATTATATCCCCCCCCTTCCCACTCTATCTTCTCTTGAAGTATACAAGTTGTGAAAGTAGATGCAACTCTAGTTTTACAGGGGCTATACATACCCCAAGTACTAGCTATGACCGAATCTGTAGCTCGTGGTTTGCAGTCTGCTCCAATCTCCTAATAAAAACTGTGCGGCCTTGAATGTAGTTACTTACAACGTACCACTACTAAAAGCCCTAGTCAGTAGTGACCAGTCGCTAAAACATCAGCTACTAACCACAAGCGACGACGTTAATTACTGGCGTCTTCGCGGAACACGGGAAAAGCATCGACCACACACTATTCTTGCTTGCCAACAAGGGGAAAGAAGAAGAAAAAGTGCAATGTGGAAAACAACTGAATTATTTTCATACAACAATAATATATACATGCACCACTTTTATGCGCGCGCGCGCGAGCGGCAACAAGGGTCTGCTTCTTGTCTTGGTGGTTATCTCCTTGCTGCTGCTTCTTTTTTGTCTCTCGCTGAAATTGATTGTCTAAGCGCGGCCAGAGTTTTTGGGGGCCCTAAAGCCGTATAATTGGTTGCAGCCTCTCAGAGTGGGGGGTCGTCGGTCCAGACTCTCTCGATATTCTCAAGTCGCACCAACTGAACATTTTCCCTTCCAATTCAATCCCCTCCCACCCTCCCGGCCCCCCCGCCGCCGTCCTTGCCAGCCAGCGAGAAGTCTTTCGTCCATCGGCCCGCAACACCTCGGCTCTGGACTCGGTCCTTGATTCTGCCTCCCCAAATCTGCTTTGCTGTAGCCAAGTTGTTGGTCGTGTCCCAGCAAGTATTCCTTGGAAAATGTACGTGTATGGAATCATCTTCGTCATCTCTCATTGGGTGCCGTATACGATTAGACAAGAGAGTATATAGTTACCTCCCGGGGGAAGTTGCTGATCTCTACTACCCTGTTTCTTTTCGGTTCAGACTGTGTAAGCAAGACCAAACCATTGGATGGCCACATTCCAGAGCCGGGCGGCGACCCGATCAGCTACCTGCCCATCCATTCTCAATCCCCAATTCCCCAATCCTACCTCTCTCTCTTTCCCCCGTTGCATTGAATATCACCCAGCTCTGTCAGCCCTCTTTCAGTCACTTTTTCCAAACAAATTTTTATGACCGTGCCGAAATTGTTACATGCATGTGTCTAGCTAGGTAGGCAGCCTGGGAGGCGCGAGAGGGACATCTCAGGCGGCTCGGATCCCCGATTGATTGCCATTATTACCGGCGCTATTCTTGTTTCAGCGCAGTGTGTATACCATCCATCTACTTGCACTTTATCTTCTCTTTCGTCTGGGCGTTCTCGGCAAGACATTCTGCCTGGGAGGGCTCACTAAAAAGAAGCAAATCTCATCTCTTCTACTCTTTTCATCTACATCCACTTTTAACCCGAATTTTCCGGGGTAAGAAAGATCGGCAGCCCTAGTTTAGGTAGATGCGCGACACTATACATTAATGGATTAAGTAGGCGAAAAGAAAAGAAAAAAGATCATAGCTCATCATAGTGCATCTCACATACATATTACCATATAACGTATACACGGCTTTCACATTGCTTGTCAAGAGGGAGGGGGGGAAAGGACACATGTAAAGAAAGTAAATCGATATGAAAAGATCACCACTTGATATGATATCTATTCTTTGCGTCTTGAACAGATAATCTGCAATCTGCAGCTTAGGTACATACCTAGATTTTACAGACACACACGATGCCTGCCCTGAAATCGAGGGACGGGTCATATTGCCCCGTTTGTTGTGTTGCGGGTCGGTCCATTGCCTGCCTGCCTGCCGTGCCTTGATTGCAACTACATTGATTGCATTCCTAAAACTCCCACCACCATACATACTACACAAACACACGCGCCTACACAAAATGATATTGTTTACTAATCATACTACTGATCAGATCCAAACACGGCAAGTCCCGCGTCAAGCCATACATATATACATGGCGAGTGTGAAAAAGTGACGCAGCTGGCGGACTCTCCATCATGAAAGGAGGGGGCTCGGCGGGAGTGGCGCTTGTTGTGTGGTGTAGTGTTGCATTGCATTAGGGACTATTGCATTTGTCCATCACGGTCAATATGAAGCCCAATAAGAAAGACAAGCAAACAAACAACAAATAAAAGAGAAAAGGAAAAAGAAAAAAAGCAACGGCACGGATTGCTACTTTTGGCTAATGTAGGCTAGGAAGCGGCTTTGGCAGGGCAGGCAAGAAAAAGTCTTGGATAATACATATGCTTGCAAAAATACATACTATATCATACATGCCGTTCATAACTAACGTAGTGCGTCCGCCTCTCTTGTTGTAAGACCAAAAAATAAACAGAACTATCATATTCCCGGGCCCCCCCTTCGTTCAACCAAAGTACCATACTCAGCCGCATGTTTGAGAATAGCAGCCACAGATCGGTTTTCTTCTTTTGTGTTCCCCTCCCCGCCCACCCAATACTTCTCTAGAGACTGGCATACCCATGGAAGGGCATTTGACCGATTTATCATACCGAGATCAAGTACCTTACATGTCGGAGCTGAGAGGATTCACCGTGGCAGGGACTCGCAATATTTTCCTCTTCTCAATTGCCGGTGAATGTACCAGGAAACCAATACCATATCCGTCTTTTCCTCCAGTCAATAAGTCGATAGAAACGAAAGTCGTAGAAATTCCAAGGGTCCGGGAGAGAGAGGGAAAAAATCAGCCTGCCGATCACTTCCTGCAAGACTGAAGCCACGGCTTACGAGCCTTGTAGCCACGAGGACCAGGAAAGCAAATACATTCACAAGACTCCACACAAGACAAACCCCAGGCCGTCGTCCCGTCACACCACTTGTCAAACTAGGTGCTAATGCCCGATTAAACTCTAAATACCGTCATATTCATCAGGGGGATAAGTGTGGGAAATCGTTTTTTTTTTGGGGGCTGCTGGCGGAAACTTTAATTATCATAGCGGAGAGGAGAGGAGAGGAAAGGCAAATAAATGGATGGCAAAATAGAGTAAAATGAACGGGTTGGTCTTTCTTCCAAGAAAAATCGGGTTGAGATCTGCCGTGGCACCTTGCACGCCCAATCTCCGGCACAGATGTCCCGTCTCCCGCCGCAGCCGGCATCACTTGCTCGGCCGTGAGAGAATGTGCCAGAGATGCGTCTGTATAGTATATACCCCCAATGCCAAGCCAGAGAAGGATTCATGCAGAGAACTTTTTTCCTCTCGGCATCGACGGCTAATTGATGGGGGGGAGGGGGCGCTAGGAACCGTTCAGCGCTGTGGTGAGTTAAAAACAAGATCCTGATGACAGATCGGGCGTAAAGGGGGGGCGTCAGATCCTGCTCGGTGAAAGCGATCTGTAAATCTGTGCATCTGAGGAGGAGGAGGGAGGGGGGGGGGACTCTTTTCTTTTTCTTCAGTCAGACCCTGGAATCCAGGATCAGATTTGCGCAGGAAGGTGTCCGGTCACAATGATTGGCCGAAGGTGACTCGTACCGAGTTCAGGTCCTTTGTTTTTCTCTGACGTACCATCCATGTTCAGCGCGAGACCGTCCTAGCATGGACATGGATAGACCTGATACATCTCATACAATCGTGCATAAGATGAGCAAGCCAGCCGTTTGGTTAGCGCAACATTCCAGAGGACTCGGGGAAACGACCAGAGCAGAAAGCAGGAGAAGAAAAACAATGATTCCAATAGTTGGTCTATTGCGGCGTTAGTGTTTACGGGGCATGAGCCGGAAGAATAATTGATCCTAGATATCCTCGTAACCCCTCGATGCTTTCTTCCCATATCTGTTTAGAGCTTAGAGGCGTCCAAGATCGCTGATTGTTGTTGTTGCTGCTTTCTACTTGCCCTGGATCCCGGCCCTTCGACGTCCACTCCCAGACCGGCTCCAGATCCTGCCAGGCTGTGACCTTCGACAGCGCTGAAGGACTCATCACCTGCGAACCGCCTGAATTTTGTATCGTTAGCAAACTTGTACGTGTGGGCTGGGGTCATGTGACGAAGAAGCAATCCTGCAAGTCACAGAAATACCGTCGCTAATACTCACCAGCCTCTCTCTGGTCCTCCATTGAGGAAAGAACAATCAGAGTCCGCCTCGCACGTCCAGCCGCCGCTAATGCCGATTCCTCCCCTCCACTCTGGTATCTCCGTCAAAGCCGATTGATCAAGACTCTCGGAGCGCGTGACCCCTGAATGTGCGGTCAGTATCAAGGCGTGCCCTTTGCTCGTTCACCGAGTTGGTTTGCGGCAAGGATTCCCCTGGGTGTAGAGGTTGAACTGACCTGTTCTCCGCCGGTATTTGCTTAGTCCGCAAGTATATGCAGCAAAGTCCTCCACTTCGACATTATCCGGCATATTTCCTGTGAGAACTCTGCCTAATGCAATCACGACAGCTGCATGTGTGCAAAGCACCACCGCCTTCTTGCCCTCACGATCACACTGTGTTACAATGCGGTCTACGGCAGTGGCAACTCGATCATGCAGCTGCGCAAGAGTCTCGCCGTTCCTGGGTGGCGTCACCAGGGAGCGATAGCTGTCATCAATATCGGGAAACAGCTTCCGCAGTTGGCCCAAAGGCGCAGGAGCTGGATGTTCCCAAGGAGCATGACCAAACCATTCACCAATACCCGACTCTACCTCAATCTTTGCCAAGTCGTCTGCAGAGCCTATTGCGCCCTGGGCGTCTTTTGTCGAGACAGCCCTGGTTTCATTACGCTTCACTACAAATGGCTCGATCGTCTGCAGGCACCTGTAGTACGGACTAGAGACGATACGATCAACAGGCGGGTCAATGTTTAGAAGGTAATCTGCCAGCTCATTCGCCTGCTCCTTTCCATACGACGTCAGGGGAGGATCCGTGGGTATGCCTGTGGGAGATAGGATGCCTGCTGTGTAGACGCCCGTAGTCGGGTCGACTGTAAACGATGAACGGAACTGACAGTACATGTCAGCAGTCGCTCATCCGGAGATGTGAGGGCGTTACCCGAGTGGCGCCTGGCTTTGGCACACGAGGGAGCTTGGGAAAAGGGGGATCCCACTCGAAAGGGGAGTAAGACGTCGAGATAGAGTTGCCAAACGTCCGGATATTGAAGCCGGGGCTTCAGGGGCGCAAGAATGCTACTTATGATGCGCCTAGAAATGCAACCAACCTACCCCATGGCGGACTACGTAGATGACCTCTAGTGACATCTCGGCAATGCTGGCAGCTCTCTCAGCTTCCCTACAGCAGAGATGAAGAAGCGACAAAAACAGGCAGGCAAATTGACTTTTAATTGTTCCTCGAGACGGTGAAGGCTGCGTTTCCTTCAAGGATGATAGTGAGTATGCAAGGCCCAAAGTCGGGAAGAGAGCAGCGCCACCTTAGCCGAAGCCAGCAAAACTCTGAAGGTAAGTGCCAAGCAAATAGGGGGAAAAGAGGTAATAATGCACCTGAGACGTTTGGAGATGCAGGATGACAAAGCAAATTGATTCGGGGTCAGGAAGCAAGATGTTGTGGCTGGCTTTGGTCAAGGTAAGAAGAGGGTGCGATTGATTCACCCCCTCACGTGAGAGTCTGTGTCGGACACTCAACCTCGGTTCCCCACCACATGGATTAAGCCAACTAAAATCCCCGTATATTTCTGCTGTGATTCTGGTAGTGGTAGGCAGGTATCCGTTACAGACATCTTCAACTGCCACAAAAACACCAAGAAGCTGACCATGTAACAGAGAGACCTGCATACTCAACAAGTCACGTGAATTATTATGTCTGTCGATTTAAACACCCCAGTACAAAAACACATAATTGATGTAAGTAGTTGCTAATGATCGTATTCCGGATTCCTATATCTGGTAAATGGACTCGAACGATTTGCTTGCATGTTTAGTAATCATTCGGTTTCAATAATACAACAACAACAATAATAATAATAGCAAAGCAAAATCATCGACTCTAATCCCAAAGAGAGGCAGCCAAGCCAAGCCTAACTAGCCAAATTGATCGCAGCTGAAAAGCGATCTTCAGGGTAACCCCTAGAGGTCAGACATGGTTTTTACCATTTCCACGGCCTCGGTATGAGGAGGGTTGTAAAGAAGACAATCGGCAATCCCCATGATGATCGTCATATTCGTAATCGCAAAAGGACCCAGGACCTCGGGCTCCTGTTACACTGCAGGACTGTAACCCTCCGCGAAACGAATGTCCGGGCCGCTCTCGACCTGTCATATCAAGGGGAAAGCGCCCCGAAAGCGAGAGGATTTTCTATTGTTGTCGGGAGGGAGGGTCTTTCTCTCCTTTAGAACCCATGTCGAGCTGGGGACCGAGACAATGATCAGCATTGAGGCTCAAGTTATTTCTCCGATCCAGTCCCAGATCCGATACGTTTCGAGATCTCGCTTATCTTCATACTGTTTCCCCATCTCATCCTGGGGTCAAGGGTTCTGATCAAGCACAGCTGACGCGACTGGAAAGAACCTGCGAGAGGAGCTGAAACAGTGTCATTGTAGGAGAAGGATGTGAGATGACATGTCATTTCTGGTCAGGCATCTTGCCAGCCACCAATTCAACTGGTCTCGCGGATATGCTTCCGGGTATCAAGAAAGCCTTGGAGCTCTTGGTGCAATAACAGAGTTATTTGGCAGCTCCATTATGCGGTCAGCTTACTACTCGAAATCACAAATTGGGAACAAAGAGTTGGGATCTGCTTTGTTCTTGAAAATCGCAATCTTCTTGGCAATCCGATTTCAATGCTCAATTCTCTTCATAATTGCTTCAATGACTGCCTACTCACAGAAATGCAAAGAATCAAAACATGTAGATGGAATTAATGATATGCCAGAATACCAATTTCTAATTATAGCCGATTTAGTCTAGCAAACTCACCTGTAGTCGCAAGACGGTTTTGTCTATTGATTCTATCCCATACAATAATTCATAATCAAATACGGTACTTGTCATCATCATACATCTCAAGACTCAACTTGGAACTAACATCCAGCGCCGGCAACCGCGGCGTAGGACTGCGCTTGCTATCCTTTCTCTTGACCTGTTCCTCTGGCGAAGGCGACGAATTGAGAAGTTTGAGATAATCACAGATTCCCGAAGAGGCACCACTGACATAGCTGCTTCGATGATCAAGCTCGTCTTCTTCCTCCTCGTCGTCACTTACCCAACCTCCCCTTTCTGATCGTGTCATGCTAAACTTTTCCGTCCGTCGGAGTTCCCTCCGAGGTATCGTGAGCAGTTGCTGTGCAGATAAAGCACCACCACCACCACCACCACCGGCGACGGCGGCAGCAGCAGAAGGAGGAGGCCGAATCTGGGCCCGCACAAAGGGTTTCTTCTTGTGTGGTTCAACGTCTGTCACGACCACGCGCGGCAGAGGCCAGCCCAGCGAGTCACTTCGTCGCGGGGCGGCCGAGGAGCCTCTCTTTTGGCGTTGGTGGCGGTGACTGCGCTCGCGATGCGTATCCGCGGCGCGACGACTGGAGGAGCGCGGCCCAATGGCTGGGGACTCACCTCTTTTATTGTGTTGTTGCTGCTGCTGCTGCTGGTGCCGGTGCAAGCGGGCGGCGCGGGCAGCGTAGGATCGGTCCAAGCTTCTTCTGCTCGACTTGCGCGAGGACGGTGCCGAGGACGGTTTACTGCTGCTGCTACTATTCCGTGGCACGGAGCGGACCACTTGGTCGTTGCCAGCCGTCACGACAGGTAGAGGCATCCGCAGCTTCGGTATTCTGGCCGTATCCTCCTCGATCTTGGTATTGTGGAGTTTGCCATGGTGGTGGCGATGGTGGTTATTGTGTTGTGGGTTATCTTGATGATGGTGTTTGTGACCATGGCTACTTTTGTGACTCTCCTTTCCTTTTCTCCGGCAGCAAGAAACGATAAAGTATACCACAACAATGGCCAGTATAATGCCCAGAATGATACCAGCGTACAGGCCAGTCTTAGGTTCCTGGGTTGTGTTTCGCTTTTCCGCAAAGCCTCGCGATAGGTTGGCTGGCGCCATGGTTATCTGAAAATATTGTAAGGGTAGGGATGAGCTCTCAAAGCCCAATGAATACACAAATAGAAGGATATGAAGAAGTATGGTGTTTCGTCAAGTAGGGAAGGCTTGCTCCCCAGAGACGTGTCGATGAGTGCCGTTCAAACCTTTCATCGAGACAAGCCTGGGAATGGACCAGTTTATATGTTATAAACCATTCAAAGGAGGCAGACAAACGATTACCAAGATACAATGTATTGTCACGCCACAGACTTATTCAGAACACTGGCCTCTCGCCCGGGCATTATTTCCAAGCTCTTGTCTGCTTCTTTGTGCATCACTTTTGGTGCAACTGCGTCTCTGCCAATAATGTGAAGGAAACTATGCCTTGTTCTTTCCATTGTCCACGTGAAAGCTGCCTTATCACCATCTGTCATATTGTATATTGTCAAAGCTGGCACGTTTCATCGAGATTTGGCCTTCCGTGGTTTTGGCTTGTCTGCTGGAATTTCATAGCTATTTCATGCTCCTTGAACAAATCCAACAGAAAACTGACTCTTCCTTTTTTATGTTGTGTAGGTATGCAGGATAAATCTTTTGCCGTCTATCCGAACCTGAATGATGCCACGAACCCAGGTCTTCCAACTCCACGCCCGCGTGCTGAAAATTCAAAACTGTCCAACTCCCATGACTCTTTGGTGTTCTACTGAGTTCAATAGTATGCGGCCAAATTGTAAAAAGCTCTTGAGGGTATCATAACACCAAAAACGTCTTGCCCTAGGTTGTCCATTGTCCTCATTTGTCGTCCCAGACCCTTAATGCTTCTTTCCATCGTTTATTTTTCTCTCGTCTTGCATTTCCCATCTGCTTTTAATACATGTATCTCTAAAGCTCCATCTGACACCAAGGATGGTTGATGACCTGGTCGATCGTGTATCTTTGAGACACGTTTCGGTTGAGCATACAGCGGACGAGGTCGATACTCTCGTCGCTGATCGTATAAGGTACCCGCAAATCTCGATCCATAATTTCGTCAATGCTGTAGAAGGGGTTCTCCTTGTAGATGATGGTGTAGAGCAGAATTCCCAGAGCCCATACGTCTTGTTCTTTGCCGCCATAGGGATTTCCTGCAAGGACCTCGGGGGCCGCGTAATCTGATATCTTGTTAGCGCGATCCAGCTGGTTAGGATGTTGCGATCATAAACTCACCAATTGTGCCAACAAATACATCAAATGGCCCGCTCTTGATGTATGCTGCACTTCCGAAATCAATCAACTTGATATGCCCCTCCCCGTCTAGGATGACATTCTCGTCTTTGATGTCCCGGTGAACTACATTCGCCTTGGTGTGAAGGTGGTGAACAGCCTGCGCGACTTGGACAAATATGCTCCGGCATTCTCGTTCCTCCATATTGGCTCGTAGCTCGATGTAGTCGAACAAATCCATGCCAGGCAAACCATGAGGAGCCATTTCAATGTAGTAATTGGTCTCATCTTCAAAGAAGTCTTCCATCTCAACAATGTTTGGATGTCTGAGCTCATCCTTTCGTAGATAGTTGAGCACATGAATCTCTAGGGGGATTGTGCCCAACTTTCGGTCTCGGGTCCACGTGTCCACCAGAATCCGCTTCTTTGTGACGTACTTCAAGACGACCTTTCTACCACCGTTTTGCTTGTATCTAGCAAGCTTGACTTGACCATAGGCGCCTTGTCCCATATCCTCCAAGATGACAAAATCATCAATTGTCTTTTTGCCGGTGTGAGGTTCAACAACTTTGGGTACGGCTTGAGCTGATTTGGCAGTCTTCTCATCGGTCTTTGCCCCTCCGGTTATTTTTGCCGTGGCGTTGATTGCCATATTCTTTAGTTGCGTCGTCAGAGCTGAAGCGGTAGATACTTTTCTCGACTCCTTCTCATTGCCTTGGCGCTCTTGGTCAAGGCCGTCTTTGTCGTCCTCTTCCTCGTCATTATCAGAACTGACCTCGCGAGGCGGCGAGCGTGCGGGAGTCTGACCCGGGGATGGTTGATGTAATGGTGTTTCTGCCGTGGAGAGCAGTGAATCGTTGGTGGCAATGGAAGGAAGTCTCGGTGCGTGTAGATGTCTCGAGTATGTGATCCACAGTGCAAAGACCAGCTCCGGTTCGCTGAATGTGATGGCCTCCTCGGACGAAGACATTTCGTCGTCACTTCCGCCAGATTCACTCTTGGCTCTCTTTTCACTCTTGACGACGCGCATCTGGACGTCGATCTTCAGCTCTGTGCCGTCCCTGTGTTTAGCAGGTAGGCCTTCGGGGTTTAGAAAGTTGGTCGGAGCGTCTGGTCTGCCTGCACGAACCGCGTAGAATGCTGCTGCCTTTCTGAAGTTGTGCTCTGGGATGACGATGCCGTCTTGGAACTGGACGCCTTCTTGCTCTTTCAGCGTGTTGATAATCTTGTCAAAGTCGGGAATAAGATTGTTAATGTGAAGACCATCGGGCTTCTCGTGCCCAAATAAAGCCCCGCAGAAGACTGAGTTCGAGCTCTTGATATGCAGCGAGCCCGTTTCCACAACAACAATGCCAGCAATGTGGGGGAAGCTCGACACCCGTAGCTCCGTCTCGCCTCTAGTCTGTACGACAGTAGCTGGTATGTTTGTTTTGTTACTGTTGCGGCAGGTGAAGTACTTGCGCCTCGCAATCTGTGCATAGTCAATAGCGCCTTCTCTAGGATCAATACCTTGACGAGGGATCCGCGTAATCAGCTTTCCGATATCGATACCGGGTTGAATCAAGTTGTCCCCCCATATCGGTGCCGTTTCGCCCGAGATCTTGGTCACAATGCCCTCTTCGTCGAGCTTGATAAACGCCACGTCTTCATGAATTTCCTCGAGAACCCAAATGAGCCCTATCCGCTTCTCCTTGACCCATAAGCTTGCTGCACCCGTTGCGCCATTACGCTTTTGTATCGGAACCACATCGCCACAAAGCAGAACTCCTCTAGATTTTGTGCTATTGTGGTTCGCCAAAGCTCGCGGCTTCGAAGGAGTCACATCTCCGCTGTGAACAGTCTGCGCACGTAGCGGAGGTGCCTTGGGTGGTTGTGCTCGAGAATTCGGCTTGCTCAGCAATTGAGCTGTTATCCCGCCTCGCCCACCTAGCAGAGCCGAGCCACTCGAAACTGGTGGTGGTTTGGCTGCTTTCTTCGGAGTTGGTACCTGAACAAGCTCATCTGTATCAATGCCCTTCAGTTTGCTCTCCAGCCATGCCCGCCGTTCTTCCTGTACAACTTCCAATATGCCCATCTTCCGGACTTCGGCTTTAGTGACACCGAATACAAGACATGCTAGGTCATTTGCTGCCAGAATCGTCCACGGGGGTTTGGATTCTGTTGTAAAGATGGCCTGTGCTGCGGGAACCCATCGAGTGGTATGACCATGGACAGACGAACTTAGGCTACCCGGAATGCTTAGGGACGAGGGACCACGATGTGGTGGTATCGTAGGCGAGATCAACACATCGGGGTATGACGGTTGTTGTCCAGCCACGTAGGGCTGCGAAAGAGCGTCCAAGAGCTTTTGTTGCATGGACATGGGTGCCACGTCGGTATACGTCCTCTTGAGAATTGGCTTCGTCGAGATTGGAGGTGAAGTTCCTGCCGTCGTTGCGCTTTCATTCGTGGGTGTTCGCGATGAATTCTCCGAGTCTGACGGTTCCTTGGCAATCTCCAAATACTTTGTTTTTGGGGATATATTGCTCTCGGTCGATTTGACAACTGACAGACTTTCCATACGTGGCGACCTTGCATCAGAGGGAGAGACGAGGGGCGTTGAGAAGGACTCTGGGCTGTGCGTTCTTGGGATGAAGTCCTTTTCGAATACATTCTGCCCGGATACATCGGCTGGGCCAGTTAGGGGACCAGGCACAAAGGTCGAATCAATGTCCTGATGTGGAAGATTACCGGCACCCAAAAGCTGTGCCTTGGCCAAAAGATCAAGCATGGTTTGCGTCTCAACATCACCCGTCACTCTTGCTTGGGCACTTGCTATAGCAGCATTATGCGAAACAGCCCAGCCCATGCGGTCTTTCATGAATTCTATAGACCGCTTCAAAACACTCTGTCGATTTTGTATAAAGTCCTCAGACTGGTGGGCGAACGAAAACGAGTGGAGAGATTCAGAAGGGAAGCGAGAAAGGTCCTCTGTGAAACTCGGAGAGCTGGGACCGGCGGACATTGGGGTTTGGTTGGTAGGCGACATCATCATTACTAGGGAAGCCGTCCTCGCGAGACTAGTTGAGGGACTTCGAGAGGAGGCGGCAGATGAGGGAAGGGTTGGAGCGCGTACGGGATGATTCTGCCGAATTCGTCGCAGACCGGACGGGCCAAGGCCATGGTCATGATCCGTCATAAGGGAAGACCTATTCACATCGTGTCAATATTACAATTCAGATTTTCAACAGGGTCATCCAAGCAGATTTTCGAGAACAGTGCAAAGGCAGGCAGGCAGGCAGGCAAGCAGGCAGTCAGGTCAGGGTGAGATTAGCAGTCAGCAAAAGCTGACCCCGAGAGGTTGTGATGCACAGCCATGTGACGTGACACGAAGGACTAGGGCGGCGGGAGGATCGCAGGGTTGTTCACGAGGAGCAACCAGTAGTAAATAGATGGGCACCGAGGAAAAAGGTTTCGCACCTTGTGAGAGAGTCATAATCAACACTTGATCCGGCATCGAAGGAGAATCGAATCCTCGAGTCCGAACGCTCGAGGGACTCGCCCTCTCGGACCGGCGACTCGGACACGACGGCGAGGTTACCGGCACTACGATTCTTGGGGATCTGTAGAGGCGTCGAGAGCTTGCTCCGGCCCCGTCCTCGTTGCGGCTCTTCATCGTATCTAGCGTTCTCGGTGTCGGCGCCTTCGGTAGAGTAAACGTGTTAGTGTTTGCATAGTATTGCAGCAAGATGAGGGATACACTGCGTCGCTATCGCGGTCCTCCTCATGGTGCTGGTGCTGGTGCTTCTGCTGCCTCTCCTGGACCAATTTGGCCCTGTGGCTCGTCTTTGAAAGACTTACCGTGTTCCTGTTGCTCTCCACCATGAGTATGTTTCATAATTGGCGGCGATGAACTTGATCACGGTGTCGGCGCAGGAGTCGAGCTTGAGGAATTGGCCCGTTGACGGTTGGGGGGGACGAGAAAGAAGAAAGAAAGAAAAAAAGGGCAAAATAGCGTATGGTGGGAAGAATATGCGTTTTGGTATGTTAAAACAATAATCGATGCCAACTTTCCTCTCTCTCTCTCTTTCTCTGCCCGTCCGTCGCGCGTTTGCTGGGCTTGGGCTGTCGACTCGACTGTTGTTGGCTCGAGTCGAACCACGCTCTCCAATTCTGCCTGTGCTTTTCCTTGGGGCGGGCGCTGGGGGGGTTTGTTTGGTCGCCTTCCTTGGGTTGCAGGTGATACGGACGTTGGCGCGGGGTTAAAAAGTGAGAGAGTGAGGGACTTGGGTTGATTGGAGGCAAATTAAACGTGTTGAGCGTCTCTGTTAGCAGGCCTTTTGTCGCGGAACACGGGAGAGGCGTCGCCTGAACCTTTAGTGAGCCGGATTGGTTATAAAGTTGATTGATACTCTACCTAGGTAGGTAGGCTGTCGAGGCGCGAAAGTGGTCATAGATCTTCTTTTCTCTGTCTGTTTGAGGTTTTTCAAAGACTTTCGATTGACTTGGTTTTTTTTTTTTTTTTTTTCCCTCCCTTGCCCGTTGATATTCGTCGTCAGCCTATCCGACACTGAGAAAGGTGACGGGAAGCTAAGTAAAGACCGAGGCGGAAAAGCTGGGGAATCCTTGTGGATCTGTTTGCTGTCTTGTCTTGTAACGAATTCTGACACCCACGGAGATTTGATGCGCTGCTTGCATGAGCAAGTGCTTGGCTTAGGGATGTTGTTTGACTTTCTTGTAGGTTTCCTTCTCGCCGACGGAGAAAAGGTGCGTGCAAGTACCAAGCTCAAGAAACACGATAAGGGATGCCGTGGCAAGACGGTTGAGGAAGAATAAAAGGAAGAAAGAAAACCGACAGAACCTGGCAATTCTCGAGGGACCCCCCAAGCCAAGCCAAGCCTCCCAGAAACTCGTATGCAGGTCGAGTAGTGTACGTATTGTCCAGTGATCGTCGAGTGCTAAACAAATGGATATGGACCTAGCCCAGCGTGCCTGGATTTGTGATTTCCAGCTGTTTTTTCTGCGATTATGAAGCTCAGGGGCAAATGTTCAGCAATCAGAGAGCTTGATAACAAGGATTGAATTTTATGCGTATGCCAATCTTTCTCCGAACTACACGTTCACACCTGTCTTTTGTTCCAGAATGGTAGGCGAGGGTGAACGTTGGGCATCGGGCATACGAGTACGGAATATCGTGCCATACCAGGGCCCCGGAGCTAACGGCGAGGATTACGGTAGGTTGGGTTATAGTCCCCAGAAAAGAAAATTGCTTCGCCGGATCCTAAAGGCGGGTCGTTGCCGGTGGGACAGGCATCAAATCTGAAGCTGCTATTGTCCTTGTTTGGTATCTCCCACCAAAGACTTTGTGTTCGTTGAGGATTCTCTCTGTCTCTCTCACACTGGAAATATGCTGTTGTACGACCCTTTTTGCGGTGGGGTTCGCGCCTTTAGGGAGAAGTGAGCTGCTAAATCCCAGGGTCTTTTCGGAAAAAGCCTTGTCACTATTGGGCTGTGATTGGAGCAACCAAACGCGACGGGCGTGACGGGAACCGATTTACCGATGGTGCTTGGTTGTATACTTTAGTGCATACTGTCAAACAATGACTCTGTTCTGGGATGATTGCCTGGGCGATGATAATAAGTCTTGCACGTTAGTGGTCGCGACTTATTTTTCAATCACGGTGATAACTCATCATGTTAGCAAATCGGTTAGACCCCCCATCGCAAACCCCGACCAGCAGATGGTGAGGTCCCGAGTTCTCATGTCTGCATCTTGGAGATCTTCCCATCATCGATTAGGCATTGGCACGCAAGTGCAATGATGTCACTGTCAGCTGTTCAGGGAAAAATCCCCCACGCCACGAATCTGGCATTAGGAGCAATGCTTCGTCCTCCACAGCCCGCATAATAGTAGGCATGGGGAAAAAGTGATGCCAAGAGCTGCTCTTGTCATATATCGTGACTCAGTCTCCGAAGCCACATGTATAATTCGAGGTCCCCATTGGACCTTGACTTGGAGTAAACACTTAAGAGCCATGGCCTTGATGTCGTATCGCAGCGGCTCCGACGTGCAGGGGTCATTGGACTGATACAGTGTACCCTCTGCCAGGACTAGTATCCCGTAAGCGTGTTCAACTGCTGTGTCACACGCTGGCCACGGGGAAGCCGGATATTTCATTCTTTTGGCGAATGAAGGACTCGTCCGGCTCTATCCCGAGATCCCTCCTGTCGCTGCTCGTCCCATTTACGGCTAGGTAGAGCTGCTCAGATGACCGAGCAAGGGGGATCTTGGACTTGGAATCCGACCACCTCCCCAAAGTCAGCAAGTAAACCACGGTTTTCCAATGCAACCAATTGGTCGTTGCCAAATCATTTCCCGTTCCAATCACGGGAGTTCGATAACTACCGCCTCCATCTAGTAACTGCTTGCAACTCTCTGGCCCGAGGTATATGTCTCGGAAATCCGCAGTATAGAGCCATTCATTTGCAACGATGGAAGATGCACACGTATAGTCGATGGCCCTCACACTCTCGCCAGATAATACATTTGTCGAATCGGGCTGCTTATCATCGCCAACATATTTTATTGTAATACTATTGTCTACATTATTTATTTGCAAGTCGCTCATCAGACACGGTAGTCCATTTCCGCAACTCAACGAATTAACACAGCTATAGGCAAACAATCATGGGGTATAGACTTTTTCCTAATGACTGACATGTATTTCATGTCGTCTAATTTGACTGCACGTACAACACGCCATCCCTCTAGATATATATGATATCAAGATTGACCCATTCTCACCACCGATATACCAGGTCTTGAGGCAGTCACAATACTGCCCCCAACAGATTCACTTCACCGCATTATTAAAGAATACACGCCACTGTTGATGCAGGATAGCCGCTTGTTCGGTGACGAATCCGAACAACCGGCGTCATGTCCCCTTTATGCCTCGAAACAACCCAAACGCCTATGCCGCTCACCACCTTTTATGTAAAATGTGAAGGCCCTTTTGTTGTCCGGGCGATGCTCAAAATGTCATAACAAGGATGAAAATGGTCCAACTTGGCATCTTGTGTCTCAATGCCGTCCATCCAGGGAGACGCCGGTTGTTGATGACGAAAAAAAAAAATGCGAAGAGTAACAAAGTAACAAATCGAGGCATGATTGAGGGCAAGAGAAGAGAGAAGAAAAAAAGACACTTGGTGACATAGCATACACATCAACCAAGGGACTATAGCGCAAAATGAAGGGATTCGATTGATCTGCAAGCGCTCGAAAGAGTTGCGTCGTTGGGTTTTGCAACAAGCGAGGAGCCATTATAGAACAAGTCAATATCGCTTTTTCACCATGGCCAAAGTTTGGCAGGTAACGGAACGTTCTGGCTTGCTCTGGTTGAGCAAGTTCACAGCAAGGCTTATGTGGACTGTTGATTGGCAATGTCCAACTAGGCGGGGCAGGTCTAGTGGCTCAGGACAGTAGATTGCTGTTGATTACCATTGCCAAGCTGTTCTCGTTCGAATTCTAGCCTGTTAAGCTCATTTTCCCGTTCGAGTTCAGCTTCCTGCTGCCGGAGGGCATCTGAATCGGCCGAAGCCACCACGTTGTCAGAAGCGTCCACAGCTGGAGGGGGTGGCGGAGGAGGTGGCGGCGTAGGTGCATCTTCCTCTTTTACGCGTTTTGCGTATGGCTCGGACGGGTTCGAACCGGTATCATCACCGTCATCCCGCTTCCGTTTCTGCTCCGACGGTGTGGAGTTGGCGCCTTCATCGTCAGTCATGGCCATGTCATCTTCAACATCATCGTCCTTCAGTTCGGCCTCAACCTTGGCGGCAGTTTGCGGTCCTTTGGGTGAGCTGCTGGCTCCGTTTCTGAGCTTGTCGTTCTTCCTTCTCTCATTCGCATTGTACTTGACAACAGCTTTATCAAAGAAGTCCTTGACGTAGCTCTTGATCTTCTGCTCCTGCTTTTTGGATATCGTATTCGGATCTTCAACACGGCGATTTTTGTAGTCTGACGCAACTAACTTCTTGTTCACCTCCTTGGCAAACTTCTTCAGATCCTCCTTTGGGAGCTTGTGTCGGAATTTGTCCATCACATATTTGACGTGAGGAAAGAGGGTGTTCTCGTATATCTTCATCTGCTTCTCAACAGGGAGCGAGCGCCATTTTTCCTTCTTGGCGTCTTGGGCAGGTGTGCTGACTTGCTGGGGTGTTTGGGTGGCAGACTTGGGCTTGGATACAGAATCAATAAGATCCTGCAACGACTTTTGCTCCTGCACAGCTCTGGATGGTGCCGTTTGGAAGGCCTCAGGCGCCGGGACATTTGGTTTATGCCACTGCACAGTTCCACCTTTGGTATAGAAATAATACTTGCCTGATTGGTCATACGCAATGAACCAGCCAGGCGGAAGTGTACTCTGATCAGGCGGGCGACGCTGGCGTGGCTGATGAACGACATTCATGTTTCGCTGGGGTACGCTGTTTCGAGGGCCTTTGGGAACATTGTCCGGCAGCGGGGCATTGGTGACTTTTTGTTGTGGCTCCTCAAGCCGGGGGCCGCCACGACGTTCCTCAAAGGAGTTGACAGGTGCAGTAGCCCCTTGAGCATTTCGGGCTTTGCGAGGGATACGATAGCCTGTTTCCAATTTGCTCCAAGTTTCCAGCAACTGCTTCGACTCAGCTGCAATATCCTCGTGCTCCGAGTCGACCAGAGGTTGAACGACCACGTCAATCTTGGAATCGGTAATCTTGTTTCTTGTTAGGCGCGGGAACCTGTTTAGGATATGAAGAATTTGGAGAACCAGGTTGCGATCGTCTTTGAAAGAGTTGAGCGTCGTTTTGAGGATCTCATATCCGTGGACGCGGACAATGCTGGGGAGGAGACGTTCCTCGCAGCGCTCGATACGCTCCAAGAGTTTAGCAGCAATCCATTTCTCTTTGCACTGCATGAGCGAAGCCATGACTTTTTGCACCCCCTTTTCATCGTCAAGACCACGAGCCTGTACGCTATTAACGTAGTCTTCATCGTCTTCCTCAACTCGCTTCTTGCGGGGCTTCTTGACGACTGCGACCGTGGTATCCCAGCTGTCGGCATCGTCAATGCCGAGGGCCTCAATCGTTGCAGCAGACAATTTGGTTGCCCGCTCTGTCTGCGTCTTTCCACCAATGAAGCCAATACAGTTGCTTTCACCGCAGTAACAGGGCTGAGGGTCTGCGCCATAGCGATCGACGTTGTAATTAAACACGAGTTCTTCGCCTGCCTTGACCTCACGGCTGGTGAAAATGCCCATGCGCATCTTAGGGCCAACACACCACTTGTCGACATAGCAGTTGGGGTTGCAAGAATGGTTGCAGAAGCGACCGAGGTTACCCTTCTTGGTCGCATCTACAAACTCATTCTTGTGCAGAGACATGAAATAGAAATGCTTGATACCTTCCTGGTCGTATTGCATCATTCGCCGCCGGAATGTTGGCTCATTGATGACCTCACCGATATACTCATAGATGAAGGTGTTGGCTTGCAAATCCGAGTTTGCTCGTAATCCAAAACCCTTCTTCTCCGTCTTGATGACAGAGACGTTGGCGTATCTTTTGTGTTGAAAGCGTTGATTCTCGCAGCCGTCGCCACAGTTACACTCTCGGTCGAAGCACTCCATTTTGGTGATACGGTTGATGCAGTCGGCATCTTCGCCACATGCATGGTTCTTACCATCGCGCCACTCCTCAGCGCAATCGCAATCCAAGGTATCATGTTCCGAAGCACCAAGAGATTTGGATCCGTACAAACAATCCGGAATCAGTTGAAAGTGGCCAGTAGCCTCCTCCGTGACGTCGGGGAGGTGATTGAAGAGAGGGGGTTGCCGAGGTGCTGACTTTTGCGCGCCCTTTCGAGACTTTTGTGGTTGTACCCCATTCACGTCTGGCGTTGACGCGCTGTCACTGCGTGGCTTTTGGTCTGGCGACATGCTATGCGACCTGGATCTCGAGCCACTGGACCCTGGGGCACTGTCGTCCTCTTTCTTCACCTCGGTCTCGTTCACTGCGAACACGTCTGGTTTGGTCTCAACCGTCAAGCCCTGGAGGCTAGCTTTGATGCGTTCTTCGTCCTCCATGGTGGAAGACGGATCGGCAAATGATGGCAACTAGGGAGGGTCGTCGTTCGCCGAAGTGGTAGTTGCGGAAAGAATTGGCGGCAGGAGTATGTTTGCGGGAGTCTCCAGTATAGAGAAGAGTTGCTGGCGACTGATGCTAGTTTTGCGCACGAAGGTTGAAGGGGGTGAAAAAAAACTGCTGGGCCAGCTCGAGTGGCGTCCCTGCTTTCACTTCTCAAGGTGCTCAGCGGGCCAGAAGGCTCTCTCTCTCTCTCTTTCTCTCTCAGCAAACTGCCAATATCTGCTGCAATAAATAAAACAACCTCTTCCTGCGCGATCGGCCTGCCTTATAGCATTCTACTGTGCCTTTTGATATGTTCCAACAAGGCAGAGGATAATGGTGCGAGAATGTGCAGGAGCGCGCAATGGAGGATGTGTCCAAGACCTAGCGCTACGGTATGCCGCGTCCTCCTCTGAACATGGCAATGCGACTCGTGTCAATTCGAAGGTTCAGCAGGTCGAGGTCGAGATAGTGTACTGTGTGCGCAGCTGATGAGAGGAAATCCAGGAGGCGTCTATGTCGGTCGGGATTGCGCCCATCAATGGGACCAAAGAGCACAAGATTAGGAAAGCAGCAGCAGAAGACACACTCACGCGGCGACGGGAATGGCACAAGAAATCACCAACTACCAGGTATGGGATTCGCGGTCGGGGAAATAATGGGGAGAGGCGCCGATGCGTGGACCCCACTTCTTCCGCCCAATGGTGGGAGATCAGTGCCAACTTTGCACTAAAAGGTTAAATCTTAGGGCAGATTGGTAGGTAATGTAGGTAATTGGTAGCAAGCAATTCTTCCATTGAAGTCGAAAAGCTCAGCGGGCTTGTTCACCAAACAGCTGGCCCGAATCCATATCCCTTCTCTGTGCTTAGGTAATCCCCGTGGGGATTATCTGTTTGCAATGACTTTTGTTTTAGACTGACTTTCCCTTTCAAAGCTGATAGTCCTCTGCAAAATTGTATTACCTTTTTGTAGCTGTATGATGCACTTATGCAGACATTGACAGACCTCTTTGTTCCCACAGCGATTGCCCACTTTCTAGTGGAAAATTGCTTGAATGATGTATAAAAGACAGAAATACCTGTATCTGCTTACTGTGCTTGGAGTCTCAGACACAACAAACTATCCATGAGTTGTAACCAAGACTGCTGATTGAGCTGTATTCGACATACCAACATTGGGTAAGAGGGCCTACCTTGAGTACCTAGTTGGCACGTCGTGTGCTTGGTCTGTTTCTCACCGCCAAAGTTTTGGCATTGACGGCATATTAAATGTAGGAATGCCCAAGATCTGTTCCCTCAGAGGAGAGAACAAATAGAAATGATGTAATTGGGCTTGGTGAGCAAGCGCATACGCAATGGCAGATACCCGAGGGTAGCTAATCGGCACTGATGACTGCTCTTATTCCCTAGTGCCAGCGCATCTCGCAGTTCAGCTAACATCAAGGTCGCCTTTCCCCCGGATCATCCAACGCTGAACAATTGGGGTTTCGGAGCCATTTACAAATTGGTAGGCATTGTACGGACGGATTGTACATGGGTGGATCCTATAGAAAGCTGCCAGGTCATGCCAGCGCATTGTGCATGTAGGTAGCAGAGGCGACACTTTTGATGGAAAGTCGAAAAGGCGGTATGGACCAGAGAGCCCTATATAGATAAGTGTTGGGTCCCAGAGCGGGAGGGCTTATTGATCTTTTTAGAATTTTTCAAGGGAAAAAAAAGCTGAAGCAAGGAGCAACCAGAAACAAGAAACAAATTCTCTTTTCATCTCAAGTCGCCATCGTCGCACCCCATCGTCGTTTGTCATGCGTTTTATAATACGTATGGTACATACCTACTCAGCAAATCAGGAATGCATACCGTGGCGACCCTCTCTGCTCTGCCAGGATTTATTATACATACATACAAACGATGGCGATCAATGGTGCTAGATCTCCTCGCCTGATCAAGAATGGCTGATCCGACATTCCCATACAGGTTGGACACGACGCCTGAACGAACTCTTGATCCGTGCTTGCGATAGGCTTGAATGATCTGGACGGAAAGTGCAGTGAAGAGGCAGTTGGGCAGTATGATTGGCGAGTCGACAGTCAGCTTCAGCCACTCAATCTGGCCTGGGGACATGTGCCGCTACCGAGCCGGGGAAGCTTGAGATTCGAGGAGCTGCACGGCCAGCGAAGCAGCAACATGTCGACCAATGAAGGCTTGATCGCATTTCTGCATCGACGACAGGCCTTGCAGCGGAAATATGAGAGATCGAGTTTCTATTATTATTATTTTTCGCAACTTGCCCCTCTTGGTGTGCTCTTGCTGAGATGCCGTACCGCAGGAGCTAGGCGTTTGCGAGGAGGAGCCGGGCCGTTTAAATCTCTCAAGCAGCTTTCACTGCAGCCAGCAGGCATCTTTTTGCGCCAGGTACCTGCCTGCCTTGCTGGTACAGGTCACTGCGTTACAGATCACATGCGATGCTCAAGTACCTTGGAGCGGCCGACGATCACCACTGGTGGCCGCTAGGGATGGTCACCCTAGGACAGCTTGTGCATTCAGGACTGCAAACAAAAGACGACAGAAAAAGGCAATGCATCATGGTTGAAGCAATGTGTTATGCTTTTTGCCTGCCCCCTTAAAAAGCAAGATTTCTCACCGTCATCACTGGGTCAGGCGACCAACCCAATTTGCTCGAGTGGTCAGCCGTATTGGCTCATTGAGGATGTTCCGGACGACTCAGATGAATCGCGTCTGCAGGAGACCAAAACCCGGAGGTCGTCAGTCCACTCAGCGTCCAGAGCCGAAATGCTGATGGCTGCAGCGAGCTTGAATAGCTCCCTCAGGCCTGCATTGGCAGCAGGTGTAACACGGTGCAATTCTACACTACTCAACCTGGGCCCTTGGCCTTACCCCCCGTTTCGTTTCTGCATGCCTCAATTGACTGGCCACAGTTCCCAATTGGGAAATCCTCATTTTTTTTGTGCAGCAGCAGCAGCAGCAGCGAAACCGCACCAAGCAAGCACCTCGCGAGCTAAGGTCATCTTTTGGGGCCGACCTTGAGAGGACAGGCCAAGGCCCATGGGCAGCGGAATTTGATTTGGGATCCATCCACCCGGGCAAACATTTCTGTCTTGGTCAACAGAAAGAGAGAGAAGAAGGTAGAGAGACGGACAAAATCGTGCATCCGAGGGAGGAGGCGAGAGCAACGACTACCGACTGGCTGTAATCATTCACTCTCCTAGGTCATCATCATTTCTGCGTTCATACCATTGTTGTTTTTTTTCCTCCCCCTCGCCTCGAGGCCCTCCTCTACGTAGGTCACATACCTGACCATCAGGGATGTTACCTAGGTACGAGCTGCACCGACCGCATTTTACTGTCGACGCCGCCTCAGGGATTGCACAGACTCTCTGGAAAGCTTCCCCGGATAGACTGAATTGTCGGCTATCCGAGACTGGTCCTGATTAGAGTGTACCTTAACAATTAATAACCCGCCGTCGCGGGGTCTCTCGGATCCCTCCCGCCCTGACAGACTGACTGACAAAACTGGTCTGTCCCAGGCAAGCCGCAAGACAAGACAGGCACACAGGCAGGCAGGCAGACAGACAGGCGCTGGACTCGAGACAGGCGGCGACCAAAGCTTTCCGCGCGCTACTTTTTACCTTACCTCGACCCTTGCAATAGAGGTAGCAACCTTGATCTTTGCCGATCGCAAACCAGCGCGCCCGTCGCGAGGTTTCTCAGTTGGCAGCTTCACGACGTTTTGTTTTCTGTACTACTCGAGCTTCTCCAAGACACGGCCATACACTCGTTTGACATCTGATTCGGGCATCTCGCCAAAGACGCGCGCTTGTCATACCTTTTTTTTTTCCTCTTTCGCGCGCGTATCCCATGCCCTTTTCCGCGACTCTCTGCTAGAAGCCCCCTCCTGCATTCTTCATCTGGACCTAGCCACTCCTATGACACACATCCCTCGACTTTCTGGCCTGCACAGCGTCCGTCCCCTTGCCTCCCGTATCACAGCCGCCTCCTGTTGTGTAGTGTGAACCGCAGCTCTTTGCGTGAGGCAGCCTTCTTCAACTTGAAATTTCCATTTCACTAGGCTGAGCAGAATCCTCTCGTTATTCTGACAGAACTGCAAGCTACATCATTCTTGTTCTTTATCTATATTCTGCTTGAAATGCCATGATTGCAGCTCCGGTAGCATTTTCCCTATTTCAATCCTCAGTCAGCACCGGCGGTTTCTCGCTGCGACATTCGCCATGGAGACAACATGGCAAGACCCCGAACTCGTAAGTGAAGCCTGTCGGACTCGGTGAAATGCAGCTTCGTATTCACAAAATTGTTTGTTGTAGCGGTTCCTGCTCGGTGAGATAATCAAGGCAAGCACAGTAGATGTGCCGATCCTCGCAGAGTTCATCAGGGCTCAGAACATTGATCCAAACTGGCTGAATATGCAACTCCCCATCGGTAGGTACCATGCGTATTGGTCAGTACTCTCATCATCTAAGAACGAAGGCTGACATGGCTAGGTCGCACCATGCAACAATGTATGGGAGCCGCAGAGAGAGTTTTAGCTATACATCAACCTCCACCTTCGACATACTATGGTCTGAAGCGCAAATCCCTGGAAGCTAGCGAGCAGCCGCCGAAGAGGCAGGTCACAATGGGCCCAATCGAGTCGTCTCATCCACCACGCAATATCCAACCCCGTCCTATTGCAAGCAACTTTCAGTCTGTTCCTCTCAATATGAACAGCAGTCCGGGTACGATTCCGGTAACTGGAAAGAAGCGAGGGCGCCCATCCAAGGCCGACAAGGAAGCCCAAGCTCGTGCAAACTCGTTTCGGACAATGGAATACGCACCCATCATACCAGCACCTGTACCTGCACCTGTACCTGTACCTGCACCTGTTTCTGCGGCAGCGCCGATGACCACCATCAACATGGCGCATGCGCGCGAGTACATACCTTCGCCAGGATATGAATATGCAGGCAGTACGATGGATATGCAGGGCAAGAAGAGGGGCAAGCTGGGCGAGTATTCACCCACAGGCTCCTATCTTCTACCTTCTCCAGCGTCTGCGCCAGATCATCGTGCTCCTCCTGAACCTGTTGAACAGCCTAGCCGGACGGGATCGCCTAGAGATCATGGAGGAGGCCAGCCGGGGGATAAAAGACCGTCAACTTTTCATCAGCCAATGCAACACCCTTCACCCTCACCGAGGCAGACACACTCGACGACGCCTGTCCAGCAGTCCAATACACTCCCGCCTCTGAAAAGCGATCGGCCACACGAGCAGTACAGACCAGAAGCTCCTCGCGTCGACCCCATTTTCCCAGATCGGGATAGGTCCAGAAGCGGTTTCGATCCCATGACACGTGCTACACCACCAATACCGACCGTCGCAAATAGAGGCTAGAGATGTGTTTTCTATTCATCGTGGAGCCTTTGAAAGGCGCCTTGTGTGTGGTACTATGCTATCGTTACGAGCATGAGAGATGATTAGATATTCTGAGCTGGAATCACTACTTTGGACTATGTCTATCTACACCAGACCTGGACCGTCAGAGCATCAAATCTGTATCGGAAATACGCGTACACGACTTGATTATTGCCGATCTATACAATGCCGGTCGATCATTCGAAAAGGTGCATACTTTATATCACCATGAAATTATGCTTTCCAGGTTCGTTTCATGTTAAATGGCAAGAACGCGCCACGTCGCCTGGTAGCTTGCTTTTGCGATAACTTCATTTCCTCGGCGTCTGGTACACGGGCAGCTGGTGGGCATTATTATACAATACCCCTTGCGGCATTTGCAGGACCAATGTGTCCTTCATTATACGATATGATACCATAAGTCATTGTCCCTTTTCAATTTTCTTTTTCCTTATTGGCTCTCGGTATACATACAGTTCATCTTATACGCGGTTACAAGGCGTTATCAAATGCGAGGAGGCAACAGGGCGGATTCAATCAACGGAAGAAATCTTTTATGAAGGTGTCCATGTGTGTACAATTTTTTGGGGGCAACTGAAATGTACGTTTGCAAAGGGAACATGTGCTTTGAAAGATAAAAGAAAAAAAGGGATTCATGGTTTCGGTACAGAGGGTTTTACATGGCAACTCTACAATCTAATTGGAAGGTTAACACGTGCCCTCAAGACCCTGCGCGTTTTGAAGCACAGCCGTGCCCAACGTGCTTGCTACATCATGTTGCACGACAGCCTCTTTTTTGTGTTAAACCCTCTCCTACCGAAGCGGCTCAGCCCAGGAGAAATGCTGCATGATATATAATCGTGACCAATGACATGCCGTCAAACACATTTTCAACTATGAAATATGCGACACCCACGGGCGGGGCATGCCGCGTTTCGTTCTGCTCGACTCTTCTTGCCCTTTGTTGGATATGCCACACTTTGAAGATAGCTGGAAGATGGGGGTTTTTATTGTCCAACCCATTTTTCAAGGGACTTTTGTTCTAGACTACGCAGACGTACCTGAACAGGACACCAGGCAAGTTTTCATTTCCACGGGGGTAAATCATGCTGCCCCCATCTCATACCAGATAA